CTAGATATAGAAATAACTGAGATGGAGATTCTGGCTGCTTTTAAAAAACTTAAAGCTAACAAAGCTTGTGGACAAGAAGGAATTTTTAATGAATATTTTATCAATTGCAAAGATATTTTAATGCCATGTTTATTGTTATTATTCAATAATATATTCAAGTCTGGTTGTTTCCCATCATCGTGGTCACTTGGTAATATAGTTCCTGTTTTTAAAAAAGGTGACAGTAATAACACGGACAACTATAGAGGTATCACCTTGTTAAGTTGTGCTGGTAAACTTTTTACTGCTATCATAAATGAAAGACTTGTATCGTTTGAAATGAAATATAATAAAGTAACAGACGCCCAGTTTGGATTTAGAAAAAACGCTTCTACTGTAGACGCCATTTTCGCTTTACAATCTTTAATTAATCGTAATTTTTTAAAAAAAACGTCTCTATTGTTGTTTTATAGATTATACAAAAGCGTTTGATTTTATTAATAGACATAATTTATGGTATAAAATGATCAAAATAGGTGTAGAAGGTAAACTTCTTAAAGTGATCAGATCATTATATAAAAGTGTGAAATGTTGTGTTAAATATAATGGCACTGTCTCCGAATTTTTTGATATTGAAAACGGATTATTTCAGGGGAAAATATTATCACCCCTTTTGTTTGCTATATATGTAAATGATTGTGAAATGCAGTTTTTATCAGATAATTGTCCATTAATGAAATACAGGATATCAAAATGTGTTTACTTATGTATGCAGATGATATGGTGATGATTGCTTACAGATGATGGTGATTCTGCATCTTGTGACATCCTTGACTTGTAGTCCGTCACTGCTGTCATTCTAGTCGCGAAGCCTCATTTGACGTCACCAGGTGATGGCCAGCCCTCTTCAGATGCTTCGACCCTTAATCACTACATCCTCCGGCTGGTGGGTCAGTAGTGGTGGCCAAACCACTACTCGTCTATGTCGGCTTCCACATCGGCTCATCTCGTTTGTGCCATAGCCAGCACGATGCTCTCTCTGCAGCTTCTCCCAATCGTCTGATGGCGGTAGCTCTTGCCCTCCCAGTGAGTCCTATTGACCGTAGTGTCCTCCACACTGACTGTGCGGGGAAACCTCTACAGCCAACCTCCACTGGAAAGAGCCATACTGTCCATCCTCTGCTCCTGCACTTTTCCATCAGCTCATCATACTTGGCTTTCTTCCTCTCGTGAGCTTCCTCGCAGCCTTCCTCCCATGGTACGGTGAGCTCTATGGCGATGAGGTGTCTGGATTGCTCTGTCCAGATTACCATGTCAGGCCTCAGTGTTGTTTCCACTATTCCTGGAAACACAAGCTTCCTGTCAAGGTCAACCTTCATCTCCCATGTTGACGCCCGTTCAAAGATGGATGAGGTGCTTCGAGGCTTCACTGTGGCTTTCTCCCCNGAATTTTTTGATATTGAAAACGGATTATTTCAGGGGGAAATATTATCACCCCTTTTGTTTGCTATATATGTAAATGATTGTGAAATGCAGTTTTTATCAGATAATTGTCCATCTATTGAAATACAGGATATCAATATGTTTTTACTTATGTATGCAGATGATATGGTGATTATATCTGAAACACCAGAGGGTTTGCAAACAATGTTAGACTCTCTTGCAAATTATACCAAAAAATGGGATTTGACCGTAAATACTGGGAAAACAAAAATTGTCGTGTTTAGAAATGGAGGGATATTAAGGGGAAATGAAATATGGTTTTACGAAGGAAATAAATTGGATGTTGTCGATCAATTCAATTACCTTGGTGTACTATTGAATTTTAACGGAAAATTTAGACATACTCAAAAGCAAGTTGCTGACCAGGGGAGAAAAGCTTTGTTTGCATTATTAAATGTCTGTAAGAAAAAATATTTTAATATAGAAACTCAATTGTCTGTTTTTGATACTTATGTAAATAGTGTTTTAAGTTACGGAGCAGAAGTATGGGGCTTCCATGCCGCACCAGACATCGAAAAATTGCATGTGAGATTCTGCAAACAAATATTAGGATTACATAAAAAAAACTAGTAATGTTATGGTGTATTATGAACTTGGAAGATATCCCATGAAAATAGTTAGAAAATTACGAATATTCAAATATTGGATAAAACTGAGAAATGTAGGAAATTGTATTCTAAGGTCATGCTATGATGATATGCTTTGTAATAATGACATTTGGTTAATGAGTGTAAAACAAGAATTATACAGAATTGGTCTTGGAAATGTGTGGGAATCCTCCAGTTTAAATAATAGCACTTTTCATATAATAAAAGAACGTCTTTGTGACATATTCAGACAAGAATGTTTTGAAAAAAATCAATCTTCTCCTAAAGGAGCATTGTATCAATATGTGTGTGATTTTGGTCACCAGTACTATTTATCAAAACCTGTAAATATAAATTATTTAAAACAAATATGTATAATTCGAATGTCTGCACATAAGTTAAATATTGAGTGTGGCAGATATAATAGAACTGAAAGACAAAACAGATTGTGTACAGCATGTGACCTGAATGATGTCGAGGATGAGTTCCATTTTATTTTAAAATGTCCTTGCTACATTGATATAAGGTTGAAACTAATTAAGAAATATTATGTAAGACATACAAGCATGTATAAATTAATTCAACTGCTTACTTGTGAGAATGTATCTGACATTAGAAATCTGAGCAAATTTTTAATACAAGCAAACAAAAGGAGATCTGAGCTGATTGCTGGTTAGTGTTCACTCTCCACGGTGTGAAATACACGTACATATCAGTATAGCATACGTGTATTTCACATATGTGTTACGAGCCCCTGTGGTCTATTTCATATCACACTGGTTTTACTAGTTGTCATTTGCCTATTGTACTACTGAGTATAGCTTGCTGTGTGACTGGTAGTTAGAATCGAGCACCATAAATACTAATTCACGACACCGTGCGGTCTCGCTATAATAAACCTTCGGGCATAGTGTTTTCGAGATTTTCGGTGACGATTGTCTCATTCAGTCATTTGGTCTAGCCTTTCAATATTTCAACATGTGTCGTTCAACACAAGTATCTATAAATATTACTATAGATATTGTCAAGTATAGTTCATATATGTTTGTCTTCAAAAATCCATATTTGATTACAAACACAGTAATGCAAAAAATGGTTTATGTATTGTTTCAGATTCAGGTTTTTGTCATTAACTGTAAATAAATTAAAAGACAGACAATATGTATTCCACAGCGTCAACGACTTAAAGATCCGTAAGAAATCACGGAGAGCTATATTTTCATCGAGAAATGATTACATTTGATTGTCTACCGTAATGCAAACTTACAATACAATCGAAACAAAAGGAACGGAATCACTATGCTTAGTAGAAGGATACAAATAACACACACGCAGGTGACTGTACCTATATAATTTGGTAATAGATATAATAGGTCAAAAAATAAATCGCACTGCAATATACAGCTGTTTCGTCCATCTAGGAAGCATAGCTAGGGGCCAAAAAGTTGGAAATCGAAATTGTCTAAACTACAGTAGAAACAGTGGGACATGTCGGTTTAACCCCTTAATCTATTGGTTTCAAAATTTAGAGGAGGACTACTTAATTTCGAATTAAATCATTAGAAAAGTGTGTATATTATGAACCCTAGGCATTTCACTACTCATGAGATAATTGTGGCGACCAAGGTTACGGCAAACCTCGGTGACTAAAAAAATTGCCAGCAGAGTCTAAACCCGAGTATCTTGAAAGATGAACGTAACAGGCATACGTTATGCATTGTATTTCATCACATAATGTACTGTGTTATCCAGTGAATATATATCCATGTCATATGGTTTTTTTGCGTATTAACCCATGCAATATGACCTATCAGCCATGTGATTGATTTAAGTTTCAATTGTTTCAATTGTGACGTCTAAGACAAGTACATGCAAGCTTCTTACCTGCGTAGAACCATCAATCTGACCAGCAGACATTGATACCGAACCATCCTTACGAGAGTCACATGTGATACAGGAGTCGTTTACCAATACAAACAGCATTGTTGATATTTACCAAACAAACAACAAAATTCCCTTTTTACCATACAAACAACATACATGTAATTCATTTTCCCATAAAAATAACATAGTTCATATTTCCCATACAAACAACATAGTTCATATTTCCCATTCAAACAACATAGTTCATACTTTCCATACAAACAAAAAAGTAAATATTTTCCCATACAAACAACATAGTTCATATTTCCCATACAAACAACATAGTTCATATTTCCCATTCAAACAACATAGTTCATTCTCCTCATACAACAAGCATTGTCCATATTTTCCATACAAACAAAAAAGTTTATATTTTCCATACAAACAAAAAAGTAAATATTTTCCCAAACAAACAACATTGTTCATTTTCCTCATACAACAAGCATAGTTCATTTTTTCACGAACTTGTGAAGTTGTGTATGCATGTTAAACATGATATTTCATAACATTATGTGGTGTAATAAATTGATAAAATTGACATGTAATAAGCACCGGAAATGAAAAGTATTATTATGTTTATTACAAGTCTATCACAGGGATTCGTTGCTAATGTCTAAAATACACATACACGTTTTTTGATATTGTCACAACACCTAAGCATCAATATAGCATATATTTATTTTAGACTTTTGCAACAAACCACCTTGATTCATTGTTGCAAAAGAGCATTTTATTATAAGTTTCATATATATACCGGTAAAGTATATTATCGGAATATTTTATTGCTTTTCAAAGACACAACTATCATGGTTTTAAGAGCGTAGAAATGAAGCTCCGCATAGTCTTGGTATATAAATAAAGTAAGCTTAAGACAATATGGCATTACGTAACATTTCAATGGACCGGAAAAGAACTTAACATGTTATAAAGCTATTGAACTATATCTAAAGTCAAGGCCTTTCTACAAACCAATAAACTTCTTTTTTGTTAACTAAAATACACGTACAATATGTCCAAATTACATATGTTAAATTGGGATTTTAAATATGACTTATAAGGCGGTTGCAATTTAGAATAGTTAATTGAACCGTAATTTCCGTCTTACAGGTACGCGCTCCGTTTTTACTTTTATATCTGTATTATTTATTTTGGATGTCTACAATTAATGTATATAGACGACACCTGTTAATGTTCCATATACTTTTTGGAGGGCTGTCACAATAACGTGATACCGGCTTGACACTCGGTTGTGACATTGAACTTTACTAACGGCAGGTAAAGTGCTATCAGAGACAGATTCTGGTGTCATACGTCTCTGTGCTATTAATAGCTGTGACCTAGCTTGTGCTAATAATAACTTATAGTCACTATTTAGATAAATACACATAAGGGTCGGACGTTTGATATGTAATAGTATATAAGTCTTAGTTTATATCGTTGTAGTGCTCTCTTTGCATTTCTGTTGTGTCTGATAACAGTCCTAATAAATAGCTATAAGGATATGATGGCCGGAATGATATGAAGATTTCGTTCCAAATCTTTAAATTACACAGAGATCATTTCAAGTATGTAATAATAGTTATATATGTTATTACCGTGGTTGTTATTGTCGGGAGTCAACCAATTTTAAATGCAGAATTATATGGTACAGAAAGATCTCGGGTTAGCAACCGTGGCATTGATATATTTAATTTGCACTAACACACCTTATTGAAACTAGACCGAGTTTCCTCTGGGCCTGACACCAGACTTAAATTTTGACAGATAGATGGCATCTTGACAAGTTTGGTGTCAGAGCCAGAGGAAAATCGGGCTAGTTTCAAACTAGGCCTATATATATTTATTTGTTATCAATTACTGTTAGAATTCCTTTTTGTCTGTTCATTGTGCATGCATGATAGCCCTTGTATAATTAATAGTTTAAACGTTATCGTTGGGTGATTTTCGTTTATATGTAATTTGCTTGGCTTGTTTGTTTGAGAGAGAGAGTAGTTGAAAATGTTGGGGAGTGTGTTGCCTATTTCTTTACAATTAAGAACTACCGATGCAATACACGGATCCCTATCAGATATACATGAAACCGACACGGAATTGTTGATTGCCGACTGCACGATCTAAATTAAAAATGATGCTTGTTGCACTCGCTGTACACTTGAAAACCAGTAAACCTCAATAACATTCCAAGACCAGCCTTTAATTATAAAACAGATCAAACATATATAGCTAGAACATTTGCAAATTAACACAATATCGATCGGGGTTATTAGCCAAAGAGACCATCTAAAAGACGAGCACATGCAGTCTCGGACAATGTCTACATGAAATACCCAGAAAATGAACTATTTATTTATCGTATCGGCAACAATTTTAATTTTCACTAACCACTTGTTAAAGTTCATTACCCTTTGAGGACGTTGTGATCGTTTCATTTTGAAACGAGTGTAACTATAGGATTCCGTTGGATATCGATGTTGAACAATGCATTCCTTTGAAATTTTACAATTATTTAAGAGATATAACCTCACAAAATGATAATGTATTGTTACTTCATACATGGGGTTCTCGTTTATGAAGTAGAAGACGCCCACCCTTCCGGAACACCTGGACTACTTCTCCTATTACTTTTTCAATGGTCTCCATGTAAATACCTTTAGAACAAAGAAATCCTATTGGCCACCGTGTGACTTACTAACTCTTGCTGTATTTCTACTGCGTCAAAGGTTTTCCCTACAGTTTTCCTAACAAGTCTGTGGATGACTGTTTTGTTTCCCACTTCCAGGCTGGGTGGTTAGTTGCCTACAGTAATACATGTCTGTGGCTGGGCTCTAAAATCGATGTCCTGACTGATCTTATTAATAAGTCCGTGAATGTTTTGTCAGATTGTGTGTCCCGATCTGTGAATTGACTGAATGTATGTTGAAACAACACAACGTATGGCTAATAGTTAAAAGTAACAACAGTACACACTAAATATCGGTATCTATCAAGTGTAAAAGGGTAATACAAAACGTAATAGGTTATCTAGCCTAAGAGTGGGAAAAATAATTTTAAGACAGCTCAAAATAAACATCTGCCTTAAATTGAGAGAGCTAAGATAGTTGGAAAAAGATAAAATATGCTAAAAATGAATTACACTGCATCATACAGCTCTTTCGTTCTTCTATAACTCATCGATGGTGCCAGGGACAAATTAAAATTGGTCTTAACTACTGTTGAAACAGAAGGAAGGTGCATAAAAAGCCTTAATTATAAGAATTTCATTTAGTGAAGTGTTTTATAAATTTAAAATTGCAGACCAAGTTTTAAGACAATATATACTTTCCTTTGTTTTGGAGAAGATTAGTGGAACAATACAATCTAAATGTTAATGCAAGAGCAAATGTTCTGACAAAATAACGGGTTTAACATAACTTGTTCAGTATTGTTTGCATTAGAGTTGGCATTCTATCAATACAACTATTGTTATAATTCTAACCCCAAAGTTCCGTAATGCTTGGCATGTCAAGTATACTTGTACTTTACTTTGTTTCAGGAACTGGGCGTGATCATGGCAAAGCCAATCGCACTTGTAGTAGATAATGGATCGCATTCATGTAAGGCCGGATTTGCTAACGAAAATACCCCTCGTGTGTTCATACCATCCATTGTCGGTCATCCTCGTGATGAGTTGAAAGGGACGTCGAAAAAGGACTGCTTCATTGGAGGTGAAGTCCGAGATATCAGAGAGATGCTGGCTTTGCGGAACCCAATAGAATTCGGCGTCATCAACAACTGGGATGGGATGGAAAAACTATGGCAGTATATATTTCATGATCAACTCCGAGCACCTCCGGATGAGCATCCAGTTTTGTTGACAAGGCCCCCACACAACCCCAGAGGTGTTACGGAGAAGATGACAGAGATCATGTTCGAGACGTTTAACACCCCCGCACTTTATATAGCGGTCACCGGCGAACTTTCCCTACTCTCGATTGGGCAGGATACTGGCCTCGTGTTGGACTCTGGGGAGATTACAACACACGCTATGCGTATTTACAAGGGACGTTGTGCGTCTCTTCGATGTGATCGTGTGGATTATGCCGGGCAAGACTTGACATCATATCTCACAAGAAAGCTACGGGAGAAGGGTTGTAGTTTTACCAAAGGAACGGAATACGATGTTGTACGAGACATCAAAAGGACGATGTGTTGTGTGTCTTCCGACTTTGAGAGTGATCTATCCTCCTCTGGTACAGAAACGATATATCAACTACCTGATGGTTCAAAAATAAATATCGGTAACGAACGCTTCCATTGCCCAGAAATTCTCTTTAATCCAAAAACAGATGGAATTGAGTTCCCTGGGATTCACGAGCTTATCAATATAACCATCCAAAAAGCAGACGCTAGTTTGCACAAAGACATGTACAATAACATTGTGTTATCTGGAGGAACAACCATGTTTCCTGGAATTGCTGAACGTCTCACTAAAGAACTAAAATGTGGTCTCAATGTGACGGCCGAAGTGAACGTGATAGCCGACAAGAACCGGGATTATTTGGCATGGACTGGAGGCGCAATGGCTGGAAATTTATCAACATTTGAAAAGATTTGTGTTAAAATAGAAGAATATGACGAAGTGGGACCTGCTTTATGCACTCAGAAATATTTCTAATGTGGCGTTTGCAAAATATATTGATTTATGGGGAAAACATATTTTTCGATTTGTAACGGTCTTTTATTTTTTATTTTGGGAGTATATTAGAGAATCCAAACCTATTCCGTCTTTGCGTATTGCAGAGTTATCTCCTCCTATGAGCAGGTATTGATTGTTACGTCATTTGTTTGTGAGAGTAACGTCATCAATTTTTGAGAAAACGACGTAATTTTCTCACACAAACCAATGACGTAAACAATCAATACCTGCTCTCAAGAGAAGATAATTCCGCAATACGCAAAGACGGAATTGATTTAATCTATTTCAATCAATGAGCTATATGGCATTGTAACATGACCGATAATAATTTACTCTATGTTTATTTCATTCAGCCCGTAGATAACATTATTTTGCATGACACGACAATTTGGTTTATAAAATCTGCTCGATATGTGTCTCTTGTGATATAAATTTGAGTCGGTGTTGGTAATCAGTAAAATAATGTTGAATTACGGTAAGAGCAATGATGCAGTGTAGCCGAGATCAGTTCACGAGGTAATCTTTTAGACTGGCTTGTTATGAATTCTTGATCTCGTTTTTCTTTGGCCATCATGACGGACTTGCTAGTCGTCGAAGAATCCCTTGAAGATCATTGGTAAAATATATTAAATAAAAAAAACATACCACAGCGTCAACAAACACAAATATGAAGTCTTGAAATTCAAAACAAAATTGAAAGCATTGAAACTTGACAAAAACACGTGGACCACCATCCTTGATACTCCAGGGGTTACGTATACCAGGGCTGCAATGTAACATTTCCTCCAATGAAGCAGAGGCTTACCCTTTAGGAACACATGGTCTCATTCTACTGGTACCTTTTCAATAATCTCCGAGTACATATTTTCCTTGTCAGTTAAAAAAAATCATTTCAAAAAACATTTTCAGATGTAATTAAATCCTGCATATTTGGGATTGAATATGATGCAGTGCTATTTGCTTTTGACTTGCAGTAGCAGTTTGTCCTTGTTTCATCCCTTTTGTGTTTGAATTACAGATTTGTTAACACAATGCTATTATGATTTTTTTTAGTATTTTTTGAGACAAGAATCTTTGTCCTGTAACATACATGCATATTGTGTACTTCGTATGTTAGTTCAGCTTTCTACTGCAAAATTTAGTAGCTGTTCATACTGTAGCATGGTGTGCTTACACTTTCCTTTTTCAATCATTTCAAGTGTTTTTTTCCAATTATCATGTGATTTTCTTTTCCAATTACAGTGCTGAATAATAAATAAATCTTAAAACTATAATATTTATAAAATATATAGCACTTTATTTAAATGAAGCTCTACCATTAAGTATTGATCATTACCATTAAATGATGATCATTTAATGAAAGTATTTATGAAATTTTATTTATAAAAGTCCAACTTGTTCAAACAGCATGCATATTACACCGGAAAATGTAAAGTAATTATATCAAACAACTTCCCAACTGTCACAGCTCACTTATACAATTTTGAACTTTCAAATACTAGAAATTACAAGAATTTAAGATTTTAAAAAGGAAGGTAAATCCGGAGAGCAACCTTTCCCTTCTTTTGATGTGCAATGTAGAGTATTTCTATAACAATTATATATTACCACATTATATACTTCAATAGGTCATAGAGGTTTTGCCCCAAAAGATCAAAAATCTGATGTGAGACTTGACTTGTAGTCATTCTAATTACACTGAATATAAGCATATTTAAACAATATGCATTATAGATCAATAAATATACAATCTTTATTGAGTTTGGATGCTATAGTTGAATAACAAGTTCTTGCTCAAACTATCTTTCACATTTCCAGAGATGCTGATAAATCAACAACCTACCTGGGCAATGTAAAAACTAGTACATATCATAAGTGGGGACCATTGTAGTCATGGTATCACTACAAACAACCTCTGAAGATGATGCAGGCCAATTTTGTGTACATTACCAAAACCACACAAAAGATAACAATTTTGTTCCTTGCATCACATTCTGTCAACCTTCTGTGTTATATTTTCACCTATAACAACCTTTAAACATGTTGCAGGCCCTATTGTCATAAAATACTGGTATTACTGTAATTGAAACAAAACCCACAAAAATCAGTCACCCTTATGTATCACAATTTGACCCATAAAATGTTCTGGATGTATATACACAAACCTGTTCAAATGCTTTGAAGTTCTTATTCTCTGTAACTTATAAATAATTTATGTTATGAAATGTGTTGTGTGACTACAGTTTGGATCCTTTAGCAGTGAAGAAGTTCATGATGGCCATCAGACACTCCTCGGACTGCCATCTCTCCACGAGGACATCACACTCCTGCTTGTTTACACGGTGGAGCGTCTCTCGCAGCTGGTCTCGTGTAAGGTTCCGAGACTTCTGCAGACTCTGTGAATACAAAATTGGAGATAAGTTTGGTAAGATACTTTTTTTTAAATTATGTAATGTACCAATGTTACTTTTTTTTAAATTATGTAATGTACCAAAGTTGAAAACATTACTTGTGAAAAAAATCAGAAATTGTTCTTGATTCTTTATACCTATTACAGCCAATGTTAAAGTTTGACCTCTGCCATCGCTCAAACTTGACTTTTGGCTTGTGTACTGCTTGTCTATGTATCATACCTAAGTATCATATTACTAAACCTTATGGTTCGTTAAGAAAATGAACTTGAAATTTTTAACATATTTGACCCTTGTGACCTTGAAAGTAGTATGAGGAAAATTTAAAGCACTCTATCCCAGGTACCTATTGGCTAAATATCATGAAACTGAGCCTTCCTGTTTTGAAAAAGAAGCTGTTTAAAGAAACAAGTTGATGATGGACAGACGGATGATGGATGCTGAACCATGAGATAAGTTAACTTGCAGGTGCGCTGAAAAGAATGGATTTGTGAAAATTTGGTCTAAATTCACTAAGAGCTCTCCTATAAGTCCCCTTGGGAGTCCCTCCTTAAGTACAAATTTTGATCCTCATCATACAAATAGGGAGGCTTATTATGAAATGTTGGTGAAATCTACCAGTAAGGCAGTTTCAGAAGAATTGTTTGTTTAAGGTTAACCGTTTTGTTCTTTTTGAGAATAAATTCTGATCCCAAACACAGGCATATAATTACCTTCACATTTCATCAAAGTCTGACAGATGGTTTTTGAGCGGAAAATATGATAGTATTCCGAAAGCAATCACAGTTCAGAGATTCCTAAGTGACTTAAATGTGCCATGCCTTGACGAGACCACAATCTCCCACCTATCAAACTCTTGCAGAATGAATACTACCTTTGCTCCTGTAAATTTAAAAGGTACTGAACAAGTTACATTACAGTCAGCTCCCAACTCACAAACAGGAGAAGAAATATTTTGCAATGTGATAATTAAACACCTCTTACATTTTTAGGAAGTTTTGCAAACTTTTCCACCCTTGCTGTGGCCTCCTGTTTGAAGGCGTGGTCAGGAAACACCTCTGTGACAAGGTTCCTTTCCATGGCCTCTACTGCCGTTATCTTCCTGTTGAAAAGCAGCAATTCGCTTGCCTGTGACAGAGAAGGAAAGGAAGCACCAATTAATACAAAAATCAACCTAGGATCAATTTTCAAGTTTATGTATACATTTACATATCGAAATAATTTGATATAGAAACACAAACAAAAAAGTTTAAATTTTATCTAAAACAATTTACATTGTATATAAATATTTTGTAAATTAAACCCTGGATACCTTAATTGTTGAATGGAGAGTACACTAACCACTGTGGAATCAAATCACTCAAGAAAAGTAACATGCTTGTGTCTGCTGACATGCACAGTTGAATTGTTATCTACCAGGTACCCGTTTTTACAATCAGACTGCAGAACTACCTACCTTTGAAACAGCCATCTTTACTTATCAAGTTTTCCATAGAAGATATATGATATTAATCCAGTAGAATAGATACTACACATGTTTCTGGCATGTTTCTGACAGTACATGTTTCTGACAGTACATGCAACGGTATTACCTTTACTTTCATTATAAGAGTTATGTTAAAAAAGAAGCATGTTATTTTTTTAGCTTTATTTCTTGCATTTGTTTCAATTTGTTACACAACCATCTTCAGAGTTGTTCTATAAAACCATATTTTCTTGTTACTTTGTTAGCAATTTTCTTTTACTGGAACAGAGGTATCTGCATTATTTGTTTGTCAACTTTCCCAGAGTAAAATGAGTTACCTACCTTGGCGGTACCCATTAACCTTGGGAAGGTGTAGGAAGAGCAACCCTCTGGTGATTGTCCCAATGAAGTGAAGGGTGTGTGAAATGTTGCCTGCAGAAAATACAGAAACACTGAAATACTATGTGTAAGACAGAAAATTCAGAAACACTGAAATACTATGTGTAAGACAACAAATTCAGAAACACTGAACCGAAAATTCAGAAACACTGAAATACTATGTTTAAGACAGCAAATTCAGAACACTTAAGTACTATGTTTAAGACAGAAAATTCATAAACACTTAAGTACTATGTGTAAGACAGCAAATTCAGAAACACAGAAATACTATGTGTAAGACAGAAAATTCAGAAACACTGAAAACTATGTGTAAGACAGAAAATTCAGAGACACTGAAATACTATGTGTAAGACAGAAAATTCAGAAACACTGAAATACTATGTGTAAGACAGAAAATTCAGAAACACTGAAATACTATGTGTAAGACAGAAAATTCTGAGACACTGAAATACTATGTGTAAGACAGAAAATTCAGAAACACTGAAATACTATGTGTAAGACAGAAAATTCAGAAACACTGAAATACTATGTGTAAGACAGAAAATTCAGAAACACTGAAATACTATGTGTAAGACAGAAAATTCAGAAACACTGAAATACTATGTGTAAGACAGAAAATTCAGAAACACTGAAATACTATGTGTAAGACAGAAAATTCAGAAACACTGAAATACTATGTGTAAGACAGAAAATTCAGAAACACTGAAATACTATGTGTAAGACAGAAAATTCAGAAACACTGAAATACTATGTGTAAGACAGAAAATTCAGAAACACTGAAATACTATGTGTAAGACAGAAAATTCAGAAACACTGAAATACTATGTGTAAGACAGAAAATTCAGAAACACTGAAATACTATGTGTAAGACAGAAAATTCAGAAACACTGAAATACTATGTGTAAGACAGAAAATTCAGAAACACTGAAATACTATGTGTAAGACAGAAAATTCAGAAACACTGAAATACTATGTGTAAGACAGCAAATTCAGAAACACTGAAATACTATGTGTAAGACAGAAAATTCAGAAACACTGAAATACTATGTGTAAGACAGCAAATTCAGAAACACTGAAATACTATGTGTAAGACAGAAAATTCAGAAACACTGAAATACTATGTGTAAGACAGCAAATTCAGAAACACTGAAATACTATGTGTAAGACAGAAAATTCAGAAACACTGAAATACTATGTGTAAGACAGCAAATTCAGAAACACTGAAATACTATGTGTAAGACAGAAAATTCAGAAACACTGAAATACTATGTGTAAGACAGCAAATTCAGAAACACTGAAATACTATGTGTAAGACAGAAAATTCAGAAACACTGAAATACTATGTGTAAGACAGCAAATTCAGAAACACTGAAATACTATGTGTAAGACAGAAAATTCAGAAACACTGAAATACTATGTGTAAGACAGCAAATTCAGAAACACTGAAATACTATGTGTAAGACAGAAAATTCAGAAACACTGAAATACTATGTGTAAGACAGCAAATTCAGAAACACTGAAATACTATGTGTAAGACAGAAAATTCAGAAACACTGAAATACTATGTGTAAGACAGCAAATTCAGAAACACTGAAATACTATGTGTAAGACAGAAAATTCAGAAACACTGAAATACTATGTGTAAGACAGCAAATTCAGAAACACTGAAATACTATGTGTAAGACAGAAAATTCAGAAACACTGAAATACTATGTGTAAGACAGCAAATTCAGAAACACTGAAATACTATGTGTAAGACAGAAAATTCAGAAACACTGAAATACTATGTGTAAGACAGCAAATTCAGAAACACTGAAATACTATGTGTAAGACAGAAAATTCAGAAACACTGAAATACTATGTGTAAGACAGCAAATTCAGAAACACTGAAATACTATGTGTAAGACAGAAAATTCAGAAACACTGAAATACTATGTGTAAGACAGCAAATTCAGAAACACTGAAATACTATGTGTAAGACAGAAAATTCAGAAACACTGAAATACTATGTGTAAGACAGCAAATTCAGAAACACTGAAATACTATGTGTAAGACAGAAAATTCAGAAACACTGAAATACTATGTGTAAGACAGCAAATTCAGAAACACTGAAATACTATGTGTAAGACAGAAAATTCAGAAACACTGAAATACTATGTGTAAGACAGCAAATTCAGAAACACTGAAATACTATGTGTAAGACAGAAAATTCAGAAACACTGAAATACTATGTGTAAGACAGCAAATTCAGAAACACTGAAATACTATGTGTAAGACAGAAAATTCAGAAACACTGAAATACTATGTGTAAGACAGCAAATTCAGAAACACTGAAATACTATGTGTAAGACAGAAAATTCAGAAACACTGAAATACTATGTGTAAGACAGCAAATTCAGAAACACTGAAATACTATGTGTAAGACAGAAAATTCAGAAACACTGAAATACTATGTGTAAGACAGCAAATTCAGAAACACTGAAATACTATGTGTAAGACAGAAAATTCAGAAACACTGAAATACTATGTGTAAGACAGCAAATTCAGAAACACTGAAATACTATGTGTAAGACAGAAAATTCAGAAACACTGAAATACTATGTGTAAGACAGCAAATTCAGAAACACTGAAATACTATGTGTAAGACAGAAAATTCAGAAACACTGAAATACTATGTGTAAGACAGCAAATTCAGAAACACTGAAATACTATGTGTAAGACAGAAAATTCAGAAACACTGAAATACTATGTGTAAGACAGCAAATTCAGAAACACTGAAATACTATGTGTAAGACAGAAAATTCAGAAACACTGAAATACTATGTGTAAGACAGCAAATTCAGAAACACTGAAATACTATGTGTAAGACAGAAAATTCAGAAACACTGAAATACTATGTGTAAGACAGCAAATTCAGAAACACTGAAATACTATGTGTAAGACAGAAAATTCAGAAACACTGAAATACTATGTGTAAGACAGCAAATTCAGAAACACTGAAATACTATGTGTAAGACAGAAAATTCAGAAACACTGAAATACTATGTGTAAGACAGCAAATTCAGAAACACTGAAATACTATGTGTAAGACAGAAAATTCAGAAACACTGAAATACTATGTGTAAGACAGCAAATTCAGAAACACTGAAATACTATGTGTAAGACAGAAAATTCAGAAACACTGAAATACTATGTGTAAGACAGCAAATTCAGAAACACTGAAATACTATGTGTAAGACAGAAAATTCAGAAACACTGAAATACTATGTGTAAGACAGCAAATTCAGAAACACTGAAATACTATGTGTAAGACAGAAAATTCAGAAACACTGAAATACTATGTGTAAGACAGAAAATTCAGAAACACTGAAATACTATGTGTAAGACAGCAAATTCAGAAACACTGAAATACTATGTGTAAGACAGAAAATTCAGAAACACTGAAATACTATGTGTAAGACAGCAAATTCAGAAACACTGAAATACTATGTGTAAGACAGAAAATTCAGAAACACTGAAATTCCTTTTTATATCATTGTGGCGTAGACTTACTAAGAAAACACTGCAATTGTTAATACAGTATTAGCAGAATCTACATCCAGTATTACATTAACTTCAACAGCATGATATACTTATTAAACTGATATTCCATCGACGACAAAATTTGTAGCAATGCCAATTTAGGTTGGTCAATACCTACCTATGATTTTTTCTACAGTGCACCCTGTCTATGAAACTGAACACCCCTGAAAACACATACTTTGTTCATTTGAGTTCTGGAGAGTAGAAAGACTTCTTATGATACCTGGATATCTTCAGACCAAATTATTGGGCCAGTTTAAATCGAGATGCAGATTGGAGAGAGTCCAGTTAGAAAGTGAGTACATGTAACGCAGAATGATTTTACCTTATCTGTGGCATACACAGCATCAAACAGTCCAAGCACAGTCACCGACACACCCACAGCTGGCCCATTGATGAGGCTTATCAGGGGCTTTGGGAAGTCTATGAATGACCTCACAAATTTCCTGTACAAATATATATATATATATACAACTTGCTGAATTAAGAAATAAATTTCCTATATAACATAAGATGCTGGAAGAATTTGAGCTAAATATTACTTATTCATTCAAAGGCCTGTCATCTTTCAAGTGATTTACACTGGTTATGTATTTGAGTATATACTATGTGTTGGTAAACTTATAATATTGTCAGTATTCCTGTCTTTTTATAGGCCTGTCATCTTTCAAGGGATTTACACTGGTTAATATGTATTTGAGTATGTACTGTGTGTTGGTAAACTTATATTTTCAGTATTCCTGTCTTTTTACCCCCAAAATCACTTGGTTTTACCCCCACTTTTCAATATTTACAGTAATTCACAATTTACGCTTTTAAACCATAAGTGATCTATTCTTACTCTAAAATTACGCCACCTTCCTCTGCCATCTTTGCTACACCATCAGGTGGAATGTTCATGAAGTTTCCCAGATCATTTCCACTACAGTAATAGTCTCCAGCGCCTGGTAAGTATATTATACAGCACTATAATACAAAATTAGGAATGATTTGCATAAAACTACTGAATATTCATTTAGTAATTATCTAAAAGTGAATCCGCAAGATAAGTGGCAGTAAATCTTTTACATTTACCACACAAACATGATGTGTACTGAAAAAGGGGAGATAATTCTTATATCTTTACTGTAGGTATGTGATGAGCCCCAATAAGAGAAAATAACTCCTTTACATTTACCACAGAGACGGGATTTGCATAACAAAGGGAAGATAACTCTTATACACTTACCACAAGATTGTGATGGCAACAAAAGGATAAGACAACTCTTACACATTAACTTCAGGAATTTGTCATACCTGTGAGCACAGCCAACACTACACTGTCATCCTGTCCAGCCTCATTCAGGGCATTGCCGATTTCTTCATACATCTGGAAACAAAGAGAAACAAGATATTCATCATAGGTATTAAGGTTTCATTATTAAAGTGATTTTAAAACTAAAATATATGTAAAACATACGTGCTTCAGCATTGTTGGAAAAGGAGCTATTAAATGGAGAAAAAATGCAAACTCTAACCACAGGTGTTTGAAATTCTGACTGTAAATTGAGATAAAAATTATATAAAAAAAGGGTATTACCATAAAAAAGTAATACCTACCCTTCCTTTTTTTAAATGATTTTTATCTCAATTTACAATCAGAATTTCAAACACCTTTGCTCTAGCCAGTGAGTTGGAAAATATACATTACACTGACCTACATTTAATTTAGCAGTGAAGTATTTTTTCCAGATGCATTCACAGACGTTTGATGACTGATGCACTAGTATTAGGATAATGGGGCTGAATACAAAGTCTAACTAAGATTTCTAACCAAACGTTAACCTAAACTTTAATCGTTCCCTGCCGTATAAGACAATGTATATTGGAATAGCCAATATTTAATTTTTTTATAATTTTATTTTTTGAAACATTTTCATCATTACGAATTACAATATTAATTTTCACACTCATTTTTCATTCTTCAACCAACATTTAATACAAATTTTGTAATGTTTTTTTTTTAGAGAGAGAGAGAGAGAGAGAGAGAGAGAGAGAGGGGGGGGGGAAGGAGCCAAAGAGCTTTTACAGAAATAGAGAATAGCCAATAAATTATAATTGATATGTGGGTGGTGTGGTTTAAATTAGTTGTTAACATTCATTTCATGGGTCTTAGGAATTAGGTGGTGGCCATGGAGGTGGGGTAGTAAAAAATGCCTCCTTCCTCCTTTTTTTCATGGTTCGAAGCCATGGTATGAACTTTCGTGGCTACCCCATATAAACAAACTGTAGTAAAGTATTTCAATCAAATTTATTGTATTTATCTTTGTAGTTCCATAGCAACCACAAGAACCATACATTGTTTATGCACAGTGAACATTTTATGTTTTACAGTATATTATTTCTGGAATAGCCAAACAAACAGTACAATGTCATGACCAAGAAGGTTCTTTCTTGCTGAGAACTTATGCAAAAAGTAAACAATGAAAGTGACAAAGCATGCAAGAAATTGCAGTAACACAATCATATTTATTAAGAAACATATAGGTATAACAGCACTGCGTACGGATTAGAGTGCGCAATAATATACATTTGTTAAAAATTAACATAACATTCTGAAAATTATAAATGCTATAAACTAACTGAAAAGGTATTCACCTGGAAATTGAGAGCATTTTTCTTCTCTGGTCTGTTGAGCATGATTTTACATACTCCATCAGTATTGGTTACGTCGATGGTCTCAAACTTTGATGCTGGAGCTTTCTCTCCACTTGGGGGCGATGATGCTGGTGTTTCCTTCCCAGCTAACTCATCAACAATGTCAACATATTTTTGTTTTGCCTGATCCTATAAAAAACGGTTTGTTCATTGGTACAATCTTTTGCCTCCTACAGATTAGCATCAACCATCAAGTAAGATTTTTAAATTGTCAAGCCAAGATTATTTGCTAGAATTGTTGAACTGTTTCAATCCTCTTATTGTACAGTGGTATGGGGATACTTAAGAATTATACCCAAACACTTTAGCTAATAAATCAGAAGCCAAAATTCATTGCATTGCAACAATGGCAATACTTGGATTTCAATTTTTTTTCATTTTTTTTTTACAAATATAGAAAGGTACATTTTACAAAGCATTACATCGACAATATTTTTCCTATACTTACACCTGTATATATATATATTTAAACCATATTATATCATGGCAAGAGCAGTAAATTTGTAGTAAAATACTTTTTATTTTTATTTTCCGAGGAATAATTTATTATTATATGCTACCTTGATTGTCACGTTGTGCACATGATTTTTCTGATATTTCATCAAAGTTAATGTTACATTTTCCAACAAACCTGTGTCATTTCCGCAAGACCATTCCATGCATCCCACTTTGCTTTTCCAACAAAGTCCATCATTCCAGGCTTAGGAGCATTGCACTTCCCTATGGTTGCCTGTGAAAAATAAAATAAAAATCAACCATTATAAAACATTTAAAATTAATGAACTTTAAACTTAAGTACATGTACATGTAAAATCCAATCATATTCTGTACTGTAATAACATTTTTATACTTCTGTTTCAGACCAAATTAATGGTTATTTAATGATGCTTCCTTTCTTATTACATGTCATTGTGACCTAATTCAGTGCACTGCACACATTCTGTGAAATATTCAGGTATACATCCAAGTTTGATCATGGTTAAAACTTTGACCAAGTAAAAGTTAGGTCTTGACAAGATTTTGCATTTACTTTCCATTTGACCCTTGACATAGGTGAATGTCACACTGACCTAGTTACAGGGATGCTGACTTTGATGATCATCAATATACATTTTACTGTTTAAAAGTTACAGCACGTGCACAGACAAAGTTACAGTATATCAGAAGGAGAATTAGAACAAGAACCAGTACGTATATACTAACACACTATGTGTCCTTTCAATCAAACAGAAGCCATAATAATAGTGATGGTATGTATATCCATCAATGCTTTCACATCCTTACCAAATCACTTTTTCCGGGAGGGAGACTCCCTAATTTTCACCCTTTACAATTAGCAGATTTTGATAGATCTGCGTTTTGTTTAAATTCAGCTTATTCGTTGTATCGGATAGTTTTATTTTACATAACAAGTACAGTACATTTCACCTAATATCAAGTCGCTTAATGTCACTTTTCGGTTATTATCATGTTTTTTTAATGCACCGTTTTTCCTGCTATATAATCTATGCAATTCAATTCCTTTATTATCACCTGATTTTATGTCGATTTCTCTTAATATCACTTTATTTTGGCCACTGTCACAAAAAAATTACAGGTAAATGTACTTAAAATATGGATTGTAATTAACACTTGATGACATCAACAGGTAAGTGTTATGTACCTGTTTGAAGAGTGCATACATCTGTAGTTTGGTGGCATTGCCAGGGTCTTCCTTAAAGGTATTGAGTCTGTCTTTAGCTTGACTGAATTTATCGTCAATCACAGCCATAGCTGGAACAGTCCTGTGGATACCCCTGGTGGCTGTCGCTGCAAGCCTATAACAAATACCAAGTCTGGTGTTATCACCCACCCGTTTAGTAGTCTACTTCCAAGCATTCAATCATATTGATGTCATATTGGTTTATAAGAGAAATGTAAGGTCCTCTTCAATTTTTATGCTTCAAATTGAAAGGGGAGGTAATTCAATGAAAACACAGTTTTTCAATTATCACCTATTCATCTGATCTTGTTAATGGAGGAAATACTTTGAATAATTTTTCCATGTTCGGATACAAAAGCTAAAGAGTGGAAATTATCAGTTGACACAATGTCAATGCTTACATCATTATACATTTAATTGGCATTAGAGAAGAATAAGCATGTAATGTAGCTTAAGTTACAGTCCATTTGATCTAGATATCAAAGACATTCATAAATCTTTTGACATACTGTTCATGTTATAATCTAAGTTTTAAACACTTTATCAGAAACCTATAGGGTGGTTACCCTAAATGGAACACTTAATATATATGATGCAGCATTTTTTATTTTGCAATAAAAATAAATGGTATGTATTCTCAATCAAGATTTATATAGTTTTATGCATTTTGAGCCTCGAAAATGACCTTTGCAGAATTTGTTGGTCCAAAATATTGTTGATTTTGTCTGAAAAGTAACTTTTGAATGCAGAATTTGAGTGGCTCAACATTTTGGACAAATAATTTCTGCAAAGGTAATTTTTGACATTGTTCTTGACATGGGTATACGAAGCAACTTCCATTTTTTAAGCCTGTTTCCCCAAACTATATATGTAAAAATATCAAATCACTCAGTTTTAAGAAGGCAACAGGTTTTGATGGCATCTCAGCTAAACTTTTGAAGGCCTGTAGTAAAAGAATCAGCTATCCTCTAAGTAATGTGATAAATTTTAGTTTTAATGTAAATACCTTCCCTAGTCAACTTAAAGTAGCACAGGTTGAACCTATCTTTAAGAAGAAGGATACTTTGGACAAGCAAAACTACAGGCCTTTTAGTATTCTACCAAGTGTCTCCAAACTCTTTGAAAGAGCTATGTGTGATCAGCTCATAGAATATTTTAATGGTATTTTCATTCCTTCTTAGCAGCCCTCAGACCAGGATTTGGATGCCAAACTACCATGTTAAGATTAGTTGAGGACTGGCGCAGGTTGCTGCCATCCTCATAGATCTTTCCAAGGCTTTTGACTGCCTTCCTCATGATCTGTTGCTCATCTGTTGTGTCCACATTTGTCATAGAGTACATACATTCTCAGGATTATATTTATCCACACTAGCACAAACTTACATACTCATTTCCGTCTATTTTTACATTTCAACATTTTAATACCCATATATATATGCAACCAACCATGTGTCTTACGTATAAATGTCTCAATCGCTCATTGCTATATGTCTCGTGTAAAAATAGAACACATATCCACCTTCATCACATATGGTATATATCTTTATGCTGGAAAAAATATCTGCTCTAAATTATATATTACCGCACATACTGTATAACTCATGTCCATGTCAAAAACACCCATGTCCATGTATAAACATAATTAATATGATTTCACCATACTCACATGAGTTGTACTCGCACATACCCATATGCATGATATTAGACATTTTCAGACATTCCTGTATTATTGATATATAAATGCAAAGAGAGAAAATATCAGTCCCACACAAAAAGGTAAATGAGAAATTTGCACAGACTGTCTACTGAGTACATAATACTACATTGCATAGTCTTTTTAAGAAAGAGGAATTGAGATAGAGATTGAAAGAAATAAAAAGAAAGGGAGAACAGAGAACATAAAGAAAAGAGAAGAGAAATGTAGGAAAAGTTGGGTCGAGATGATGGAACAAGAAGTGGATATTCACTCATGTATATTATATATAACTCCAGAAATAGTTGTCATATATAAGTTTTAGTGCGGCTTACTTTATTTTGTGTATTTTTTTTTATGCTGTATATTCCTAATTATTGATTCATAAATGTTTGTATTGTTGTTTTAGATTATGCTATATTAGCATGTATTCTGTCAATTTTAAGTTTTTGCCATATTGGCATATATATACATACATTATACTGAAACGTCTCTTAAATTAATTTATATGCTGCATGAGCTTTATGTTTGCATGACCTTTACAGTTTAATCTTTCCGTGCTATTTTACTTTTTATTCAACTATCTGTGATGCATGTCGTACGAATAGCTCTTCTGAGCTAAAGTTGCACTGTTACAAACACGACTCTAAAAAATATTGTATATTTTTTTCATTTTGAGGAAACACACAAAATATTGAACTTTGACCAGACTGAATGTTCAAAATAACAAAATGATGCAAAAAGGGACAAGCGACGAAAAATCTTCGCCTAAGTGAATCCTGCCGGTCAATAAAACGTTTAGCCATTCCGTGAACACAATCAAACACTTTTAAAAGCAATAAATCTGCAGTAGAACACCTTTGACAGATGCCGGTTGTTAAGCAGCGTCTGAGGATGGAGGCAGCCATTTTTCACAGAGTAGCGCCCCCTAGCGCAGATTGAAGGAGCGCTCATATTTGCGGGCAATGGCGGACAACGAAATTTATGAGGTAAAAAGATTTTTTTCGATGACATGATTATCGGTATATTCAATATAAGTGATCTGTCATTATGTTATATCCACGTTGCAATAAAGACATCTGCATGTTAGTTAGTTACCCACGTGCCGACAATGTTCTACACGACCGTATGCAGTTTCGATCAATTTTACCCGTTTTTGTTTGCGCTTATGTTGTAAGTTCATATCGAATGATAACTGCAACACTGTAGGCAGTGATGCGCGAACTGGCATTTAAATAATAAAATACTTATGGGTCCATAACTAGGGTTGAGTGGCTTAAAAATATCTGCATTTGTTGACAAATTATATGCTATATTGTGACCATACCGAACATGTACAGGTCGTCATTCTTTGTGCAGACTCCCGATTACTGTAACTTGTAAGTTGTAACAGACTTAGCTAGGTAGCCTACAGTAACATGCATAAAATAGATGTAACAATTACTAGTAGATTCGTCCACAGTAAAACTTTTTAAGTAATTTATTTGTTCAAAAGTAACAGCTAGGATTATTTGAAAATAAATCAAGCATCGTTTAAACACAAAACATTTCAAAATTGAGACAAGTCTCAATATTGTACCTACTCAGTACAGTACTTAGAATTGAATAGCAATTAAAAGTTGTTTATAATAGGCCTAACCCATTTTTCTTTCGCACTAAGCAGTTTCTGTTATCGTTACTGTTGAAATCTAAAGATTTGTAATCTAATCAAGTGTTTCTGGTGATTTTTGTAAGTAATTTAAAACTTGTCTGAAAGATAAAAAGAGTCATGGTAATTACTATTATGAAAAAAAGCTTTTTTTTTTTTTATAGGAATTATGAATTTTCTATCTAAGCTTATATTGTTAATTAGAAAAATGAGAAAATACTTGTTAACAGAAAGTGCAGACGGTTCCCGATTGAGCTTATAGAACAAGTTCTGAACAACTGCACCAGTGAAGATTCGTGAAAGAAATTGAGAATGTATTATAAAAAAATAAAATTTTCTCGTAGGCTTGGGTCTCGATTACACTTTTTAGATGAAAAGAGATGTTGGAAGGACTAGTTTGTATTAAAACTTATGTGAGACTGTAACAGAGTTGTAAATTTAAAAGCTATTTTTATTTTTAATGAAAAAACTTTCTTTGGTCATCATCTTCATCTTTTAAGCTTCCTCCGTCGATACCAACGATTACGGAATTCGGTCTTGTGCTGTATTGCTTTAATTATTATGTACAGTGATTTTTTATTATATTCTATATTTTTAGGTTACCTGACCATAGGTCATGGTAACCTATTGTGATAGTCTTTTGTCAGTCGTCGTGCGTTAACTTTTCCTTGTGAACACGATAACTTCAGAAAATGTTAATCGAGTTTGATGAAACTTTGTATGCAGCCATATATCAAATAGATCTCGGACAAGTTCGAAACTGGGAATTATTCGACAGTAACTTACAGAGTTATTGCCCTTTGTAATATTAATTTTATTGGACCTTGTGAACACGATAACTTGAGTAAATGTTAACCAAGTTTGATGAAACTTTGTATGCAGCCATATATCAATAAGATCCCGGACGAGTTCGAAAATGGGAATTATTCGACAATAACTTACAGAGTTATTTCCCTTTGTAATAATATTATTATTGGACCTTGTGAACACAATAACTTTAGTAAATATTAACCAAGTTTGATGAAACTTTGTATGCAGACATATGTCAATAAGATCTTGGAAGAGTTCGAAAATGGGAATAATTCGACAGTAACTTACAGACTTATTGCCCTTTGTAACAATATTATTATTGGACCTTGTGAACACGAGAACTTGGGTAAATATTAACCAAGTTTGATGAAACTTTGTATGCAGACATATGTCAATAAGATCTTGGACGAGTTCGAAAATGGGAATTATTCGACAGTAACTTACAGAGTTATTGCCCTTTGTAATAATTTTATTATTGGACCTTGCGAACACAATAACTTGAGTAAATGTTAACCCAGTTTGATGAAACTTTGTATGCAGCCATATGTCAATAAGATCTCGGATGAGTTCGAAAATGGGAATTATTCGACAGTGGCTTACAGTGTTATTGCCCTTTGTAATAATAATATTATTGGACCTTGTGAACACGAGAACTTGGGTAAATGTTAACTGAGTTTGATGGACCTTTGTATGCAGCCATATATCAATAAGATCCCGGACTCTAAATGGGAATCATTCGACAATAACTTACAGAGTTATTGCCCTTTGTATTACTATTATTATTGGATCTTGTGAACATGATAACTTTAGTAATTATCAACCAAGTTTGATGAAACTTTGTATGTGGATGATTTGGGAATGGGAATGGGAATTATTCGACAGTATCTTACAGAGTTATTGCCATTTGTAATATTATTATTACACTATTTTGTATTGGACCTTGTTTTCATGATAACTTGAGTAAATATCAACCAAGTTTGATGAAACTTTGTATGCAGCCATATGTCAATAAGATCTGACGAGTTTGAAAATGGGAATTATTCGACAGTAACTTACAGAGTTATTGCCCTTTGTAATAATTTTATTATTGGACCTTGTGAACACGAGAACTGAATTGGGTAAATATTAACGTCCGTCAACAATTTCTTTAAACGACTTCTTCTTCTTAAACGCTTATTGGAATTTAAATAAATTTGACTGGAAACATCCGTAGGTGGTGGGGATTCAAAATTATACAAATGGTGGAGCTGAGCCCCAGGGGGCTGAGGGGCGGGGCTAAAAGGGGGCATTTTGGCTTTATTGCTTTAAGCGACTTCTTCTCTGGAACTAAGAGATGGATATCAACCATATTTGACTGGAAGCATTCCTAGGTGATGGAGATTCAAAATTGTACAAATGGTGGAGCTGACCCCCCAGGGGGCTGAGGGGCGTGCTAAAAGGGGACAATTTGGCTTTATTGCTTTAAGTGACTTCTTCTCTGGAACTAAGAGATGGATATCAACCATATTTGACTGGCAGCATCCCTAGGTGGTGGGGATTCAAAAATTGTACAAACGGTGGGGCTGACCCCCCAGGGGGCTGAGAGGCAGGGCCAAAAAGGGTTATTTGGCTATATTGCTTTAAGCGACATCTTCTCTAGAACTAAGAGATGGATATCAACCATATTTGACTGGAAGCATCCCTAGGTGGTGGAGATTCAAAATTGTACAAATGGTGTGGCTGACCCTCCGGGCTTAGGGGTGGGGCCAAAATAAGTTTATAACTTAGAAATGGTTGAGATCCCCACCATATAACCATATATACAATAGCTGAGTATAAAGAGAAATATGCACATCTGCTTTCAGGCCCCACCCTTGGAGACATAGTCCCTGGGCCATAACTTTAAAATGGTTGAGTTCCCCACCCAAAAACTATATACAAATGCTGGGCATAAAGCTCGACAAATGCAGTCATGATATTAGAATAGATCCTGTGGTCTGACCAAACCCCTAGGGACCTAGTTTCTTAGTCACAGCTTAGAAACAGTTGAGATCACCACCCTATAACCATATATACAATTGCTGAGTATAAAGAGATGAATGCACATATGGGGACTACCCCACCCTTGGATACTTAACCCCTGGGTCATAACTTCAAAATGGTTAAGATCCCCACCCCAAAACTATATATACAATGGTGGCATGGCATAAAGAGACGAATGCAGTCATGATATTAGAATTGACCCATGGGGCTGCCCCACCCTTGCAGACACAACTCCTGGGTCATAACTTTGAAAGGGTTGAGATCCCCACCCCAAAACTATATATATACAAATGCTGGGCAAAAAGAGACAAATGCAGTCATGATATTAGAATTGATCCTGGGGTCTAGCCAAAACCCTAGGGACCAAGTTTCTGAGTCGCAGCTTGGAAACTGTTGAGATCCCCACCCCATAACCATACGTAAAATTGCTGGGCATGAAAAATCTAATACAGATATGCTACAAGGATTGGCCTTGGGGTATGGCATATTCCCTTGGATCTCATTTGGAGAATATTTTGCCATGATTGCTTAGATATCCAGGTGAGCGATACAGGCCCTCTTGACCTCTTGTTTCTGTTATCGTGTTCACAGGGTCCAACAATAATAGAATTACCAAGGGGAATAACTATGTAAGTTATGGTCAAATTAGTCCGGTATTCAAACTCATCCAAGATCTCATTGATACAAAGCTGCATACAAAGTTTCATCAAAATCGATTTATATTTACTGAAGTTATTGTGTTCACAAGGAAAAATTAATGGACGATGCAGCAAGGTCACTCGGACTGACGAAAAGTATGAATTGGCCTGGATGACAGTCCTAATTTGAATCAGATGTCAGGTGACCGTTAAGGCCCATGAGCCTCTTGTTATTTTATTATTAAGTCATTCTTAAGTAACGTCTATTGATTAAAATTTGATTACCACATATTGTAAATTTAATATTTTAATTCATTTGAGATATATGTAACCTGGAATTAGATTGTTTAAGTTTCTCAAACAATGTTATTGTCAAAATTCAAATCCCTGATACTGATATGGTGTAATAAATTAGCTTCCATATTACCAAAATTATTTAAGTTACATGTTAATAAGAACATACATTTACTGAAAATGAGGATTTTGGAGAGAAACAAAAAATGTTTTGTAATTATCCAAAAAAAATTGTGAGATAAGGCCTTGCCTAGATTGTTTTGTGTTAACGTATATTGGCATTGCAAGCACATTTAGTGATATTCATAATTGATATTTATTTATAGTGTACTTTTTATAACAAACGCTGCAATAAAGTTTGCTATTGTATGTATGATCCAATTTTGCTAGTTACTGCATTTTAGGCACTCGTGATGAAAAAAGTTAATTTCCACACCTTTAAAATATACTTTTATTTTAAACTTGAATAATGTATTTTTCCATTCTTTATGATAGATGTCTTATTATAATATAAGGCCAAAAAATAATAATTGTCTGTTTAGGATTGCATGGTAAAAAAACCAAGGGTAGGTAGGTCAATTTTTTTTTTGTATATTTTTGTGTACCGTGTGGTCATGTGATTATGACCCTACTATTGTATGTAAAACAAAGAATTACATAAACAAGGTTCATTTAAAGGCAAATTGTGCTCCATATGCTGACATTTAGTGCCAACATGGAGCTGGAAGCCATTTTGGAAGGCAGGGAACCTTTTAAAATTCGAAAATCAGCGGGTTTTTGGATTTTTTCATCAAAAAGTTTTGGGTCGGGGGTAAAAAGCTAGGGTCGGTCGGGAACCCTAAACAGACAATAAATTTTTTTGGCCGAGGTAGCTAAGCTTGAGTTTAAATTTTACATGCTAATTTGTTTTAGGTTGAGCATGCTTTAGATAGACGAGTGAATGATACCACACTGGAATATCTAATTCGATGGAAAGGTTTCAACGAAGAATGGGACACATGGGAACCTCTAGAAAACCTACTCGATTGTCTCCATCTTCTCAAAGACTTTGAAGAGAAAAATGGTGGAAAAGCTCAAAAATCTTCATCTGCAAAACTGAAAGATGAAGCCCATGATTTTGCTATGGAGCTAATCAGCAAAAACATTCAACACAAAAAGTTTGAAGCAAAATCTAAAAGCACATCTCCTAAACAAGCTAGCAAACATGTACAGTCTCCAAAATCTACAAAGTCTCCAGAAAAAGGTAAAAATGTGCATGTTGCAAAAGATGGTAAGCTCAGCCCGTCTCCTAGTAAGAAAATTGTGAAAAACTATTCAGTGAAAAGAAAGGCTGAAGACACAGATTCAAGTCCCCGACAGCCTGCTACTAAAAAGAAGAAAGTTTCTATAGAAGGAAAAATTATGTCACAAGGATCGGCAAAAAAAAAGGTTAATGGAAAAGCAATTTCCCCAAACTCTGGAAAAACCAAAGCTTCTAAAGTTTCTATTGAAGGAAAAGGAAATTCACCTGTACCTTCAAAGAAAAAGATTTTGAAAAAGACAGAATCGCCATCTTTGAAAAAAGAGAGATCGGATAAGGAAAAGAAAAAATCTGTAAGCTTGAAAAAGAGTTCTGAGAAGAAAGCCACCAAGAGACCAAGTACCTCTCTTTCCACAACAGATAATAAAGGTACAAAAAAGCGCAAGACAGTTACCTCTGTGAAGGGAATTAGCAAGTCAACTGGAAAAAAGAAGGATTCTTCCAATGCAGCTAAAAAAGTGCTTAAAAAAAGTAAGAAAATTGCTCAAGAAAAAGTGAAAACTAAAAAGACTGTGAAGAATATAAAGACAAAAGGATCTCCTAAACCAACAAAAACGGAAAATGTGAAAAAGAAAGAAAATAAAACTCTCGGCAAAGAAGAATGTGTAGCTTTGAAGAAGATGCCAAGTTTGATTAAAACGAAAGGTTTTGATTCGAAACAGTCACAGTCAAAACATTTTTCAATGAAAATAAAATTAAAATCTTTAAACTCGAGTCCGAAGAGTAAATCTCAGGTTTCAAGACAGAAAGAAACAAAAAAGTCTGAACATTCAAAAGATTGTCAAAATGATAAAGGGACAGGTACATACGAGTTGGAGGAATGCCTGAAAAAAATAAGAGCAAAGAAAAAACAGCAGAAAAATGTAAAAGATAGTCCGAATGATATTGAAGTGATAGATATGGACTCTGATGAAAAGTCAGATTCTTCAGGAGATGAACAATGTTTGTCCTCTAAAAAAGTGTGTCCTAAATCCAAAGACATTTCATGGAAAGTTGTAGCTAATAAATCTGTCCTCGGTAATAAGAATGACAGCAGTGTCAGTGTTAAGGCCGTCGGGGCCAAGGTTCAGGGTTCTAAGGAAAGTTCACCGACGACACCTGGTGGCAAGCGCATCCTGCAAGTCAAGATCAGCCCCCTCAGGACTACGGATGTTCCAAGGAAGAAGCTGCACTTGATAGACAGTATAAAATCCAAGAAAGTGATGTTGCCATGTGAGTTTATTTATATTTATATTTAAACCCAAATCTAATTTACCAAGTGTGTACAATTTTTTTATATATATATTTTTTACTTGATGAGATGATAGCAGTAATTGTTGGTGTATCATGATCACGATACAGCTAGGCAAACTAAATAGTTTGGTATGTACACAAGAAAATGTACATGTATACCTGGTAATATTATTTGATGAGTCGTTTCAGCTGTAAAGATTAAAATGAATTTATGTAGATTTTATAATTCAATTTTTGGAGGGCAATTTCAGTCAAGGATTTCCACAGACCTGTTCAAGATACAAGTGTGGTTAAATTATATCAAGCAAATTTATTGTGTAAGCACAATAATAACCATATTTCTTCCATCCTTACTCAATTTAAATTAATGCAATATTGATTAACAAGGTACGTATTCGTGTATCATTATTTTTGTGTGTGTATTTAGGCCTCTTGCAATATTAAAAGTTCACAACTGAATAGTTCAAAGTTATATTATTCTTAAACCAATTTTATCTAGATGTCTATACATACATGTATATACAGTGGTATTACACACCAACAGGATTGATATGATAGATAAATGACTTATAATTAGACATGTTTCATTGCTCAGCTATTTATACATTTTTGTTTTCTATAAAAATACATATTTTCCTAATTTTCGGAAGATTTTATACAGAAAAATTGTACATGATTGATAGAAAAATATCCAAAAGTACAAAGAGCAAAAACTAACCTTTTGAGATTTGGGCAACATTTTGAACATTATGATATAAACTTGAATATATAATGTTCCCTTCTTAAAAGGTTTAAAATTATTTAAGGCAGGTCTTTTTACGATTACATAAATATAAGATCCTTTCAGTCATCACTAGTAGCTAGGGAGACAATTTTAAGACATTTTGATCCTCATTATTTCCTCAGTAGCAAGGCCTGTGTCACCAACACCCCTGTTCACCACGGTAAAACCTATGAGCAAGGCAAGTGTTATAAAGACGTCCCCATCTGCTGCCTCTTCCTCTGCCAACATGGAGTCACTGTGTGGTGATGTACCCGCCTACCAGTATTTCCCTGCGGTGATCCCCGTCAGTCCGTCGTCGATGTCATACCGTATGTTCCTCGATAGACTACCCCAACAGTTAAAACCAAAGGGAGGTAAGCGTGTTGAGAATGGTGACTCGCCCCCAGAGGAGATGGAAAGGAGGATCAGTGTAAGACAAAGTGAATGCGCATTTCGCTACAAGGATATTGTGGTTAAGAAGTGCTCCAAATACACACAGATCTGGATGAACACTCACACCAAGATAAAGAATGCTCTCAATCCACAGGTACTGTGTAAACTCTTTCTGGAGAGATATTTGACAATGAATAAGCCAACACATAACAAACTAGAATGTATTCCAAATTATATAAATTTCATACATTGTAACTTCATTTTTATGCAACCAGAATTTTTATTTATGGGCGGGGGAGGATTAAAATAAAGGAGGCTGGCATGCATAAATGTGGCCCATAACAATTCCATCCTGTCGGATTCTTCTTCATATCTCAATTTCTAGCGAATTGATTTCTGAACCAATTTTGTTTAAATAAAATTTTGAAATGAAAGGGCCATGAGGTACATTGTTTCATCAATAGTTTTAAATGAGAGATACATATATACAAAATAACTGAATCAAACTCATCACAGTGGCAACATTACATACATTTTGTATTTTGAATCATATAAAATCATAATATTGCATGTTTAAATTACGGAAGGGAGGTATTCCAGTGTAGTTCCATTAAGTGTATTTAGTTTTGACCAGTAGATCTTTACAGTGCTAGTGAAATACATAGTATATTCTTTCAACTTGTGTTATGCTCATAGGTCATACAGGAGATCTGCTCTGCACTGAACTCGGCCAAGTACGATGACAGTAACCTAGTCATGTTTAGTGGGCTTGGCAATGTTTTCTGTCAGGGCCTTGACCTCCATTACCTCGTCAGAGGAGACAAACGTGTCGCATCACGCCAGATGGTTGACGCCTTGAGGTAGGTGGCACATAAAATGTATAAAACGACAAGATTGCTCAGAATATATTTCATGCATACTTCATTTCGCTAACCAACATTTCTATTCTAATTTTTTTAAGACATAATTTGAGTTTCACTCAACCTTTATATCTTTTCTTAATATGTATAATAATGCTGGTATACTTGAATTTACAACTAAGGCAAAGAGTCATTAGAAATGAAAGGATGGAGGGCATATACATGTATGTGTATGTTGTTAAAATGTAAGGAACAATTATTTCTAAATGCATCGTAATTAAAATATTTTGAATTCATTTTAAGCTTATTTGTCTTATTTTCTTAAAGTAATCGTAAAATATAGTCTTTCACAATATCGAGTATGAAAATTTTCGAAAAAATAAAGATTAACAAACTACAATATTTCCACACATTTTGCACTTAAGTAAGCTTTTTACATGCTTAATAGAAGGTTGTTTGTTTTCTGTATAATATTCAAGATTTTGAATACTATTAAACAAGCACCCTGCTATATCTGCTGTTCTTTTTATATTGATAGAGATTTTACCAAATCCCTGATCACGTTTCCAAAGCCGATTGTTGCCGTCGTAACAGGACCAGCGGTGGGCCTTGGCATGACCATGTTGCCACTCTGTGATGTGGTTTATGCTAGTGACAAGGCCACATTCCATCTGCCTTATGCTCAGCTTGCACAAACTCCTGAAGGGGGTGCCACATTCTCAATTCCATCAGCAATAGGCATGGCAATGGTAGGTGTCATATATATATTAATTAAGAAAATAATTGTTTAGGAGAGGTCAGGCCAATATTGCACTTTAGTTTTACAAATTGATATCTGTTGGGTTGTCTCCCACCACTGCTATGCTATACTTACCAACTGCACATTGGCCTGATCTTCAATCAGAACCAAAGGCCTAATATGAAAACAATCGACATTATATAACTATGTTTTTGGTGTTTAATATAGTCATTACAAAAAAAAGAAAGTTTAACAAACACTGAGTTTTCCTTCTCATATTATTTGACAAAACAGTTAAAAAGTGTGGCATTTATGTTGTCATGTTTAGTTTAATTTTGGTAGCGAGATTAACATTATGATACCCCTCCAACTATTGAGGAGGGTATATATGTATTAATCACTTTGTCAATGCATTCGTCAGTGTGTGTATGAGTCTTAAATAAATTTATCTTACCGGTATATTTACATAAATATAGTATGGTAATGGTAAAATTAAGTTCTACACCTGGCTAGATTTTGGTGGTCATTGGTCGAGGTTAAAGGGTCAAAGGTCATAGCAAAGCGGGGTTGGGGGAAGGGTGGTAATGTGAGCTCCACTCACTTTGTTTCTGTTTCTCATACATAATTTTACACTTTATATTCTGGCATCTTTAATAAAGAAAAAAATATCATTCTGAATTGTGAAGAAGACCTGTTCTGAAAATTTAATAACTTATTGTAAGATATGCATGTTGAACGTTTGTAGGAAAAATAATTACAGATGTATATATTATCAGGCACACCGCTGTGATGTTAAGACTTTTTTTTTATTTGATTTTTTATTTTTTTTACACGGTAGATTAAGCGAATAATTTATGCTTTTGAATTGCATTGTATATATTGATGAAATGATATACCTTGTAGGCCAACGAGTTGCTGATTGCAGGACGTAAAATCACAGCCATTGAAGCATGTCAGCTGGGTTTGGTATCTCAGGTGTTTTGGCCGACAAGTATTATGCAAGAGGTCATTCCGCGAATCCAAAACATGGCGAGCATGTCGGGCAAGGTACTTTGACCATTTTGTGTCTGACAATCATCATTATTACAGATACTGATTTTGTGTCTGACAATCATCATTATTACACATACTGATTTTGTGTCTGACAATCATCATTATTACAGATACTGATTTTGGAGATTGCCTGTGAAGCAATAGAGATCATGTCAATTAAAGTGTGATATAAATGATACTATTATGTGAGAGTTTGGTGTTTAAATAATCAAAGAAGTTTCAGTTTGTAAAATTTCAATATGGATGATCTTACAATGAAATGTACAATGTTTTAAATTGAGAAAAATTAAATGAAACAGATAGTCTAAAAATGTCTGTACGGATTATTAGACTACTATAAGTTGTGTATAATTGAAACCAGTGTTTCATCTGTGGTATTAACATATCAATTTTTTTTTGCACAGGCCCTTGAAACAACAAAGCTTCTGATTCGCAGCCATCAGCGAACCAAGTTAGAGCTGACAAATGAGTCTGAGAGTAATCTCCTCCTGGAAAGATGGCCGTCGTTTGAAACACAGAAGGCTATTGAAAGTTACCTCAGTAATGAGAAAAACTTCATCACAACGTGATGGCAGACTTTGTCGTAGTGTTTAAAAGAATAGACTGATATTATTGTGTATGCTTATAATGGAAATGTTTTTGGAATTGAAGTGAACGAGAATATTTTAATTAAATTCTATAAATGATGCCTTATAACTAATGCATCAAACAACTCTAGTTTTTTTGTTTGTTTTTTTTAAACAATGGAAAAGCACTGTTTTTTGAGAAGCTAGATCATTTAGCAATGAAAGTATGCCTAAATTTCTTAGCGAAATGGGCATCTGTAAAATTTAGACAGAATGGAGAAAGGATTGGGTTGCTGTTGGTTGGCTTCCTTCATCAAAAGCCAATCACTAGATAAAGTATTGTCTGATTTCAGGGAGACCTTTGTTATACCTCAGTACCTGTTGGTACTAGCAGCTGAATTTACACAGAAATTTATTTATACGATTATACAACAAACATTTGTATGCAGCAGAAGCCATCTACAAATGAATCATTAGATAGACTTACATTGTTAAAGAAAATATCTATACTTTAGAATATTTTTTTCAGAATTTTATAAATACTTACTGTTATTTGTGTATATCACATCTGCTGTAAAGTTTGAAAAAGAAATGCTTTTATATTTTAAGTTTCTGGCATACATTTTATTTATTTTTCAAACTTTTAAAAATAGGCGTTTGTATATTATAAAAAGATATTTTCTGTAGTGGTATGGATGTATTTTCTCCTTCCCGATATTGCAGTGGATGGTTTAATGTTGTATGATATCTGAAAAAAATATTCAATCACAAAATGAAGTTGATATGGCATGTCTCATTGTTTAATCAGATCATTGACTAATTCTAGTAGAAAAAGAGGTTTCTTTATTTGCTGCATGTAAAGATAGCAGAAACAAATATGATTTTACTGTATTGGTTATTATAAATATGACAGATTCAATCCCATACCGGTTTTGCAAATCATCTCTCGAATAAACTGTTTTTATGTAAATCTTGTGGCAAAATATGTTTATCAAGCTAATATTTTGTATTCTTCAACATAATGATAAATAGAATGTTTAAAAGATAATTGAAACATAGATGAAAAATTTCAACATTATTAAGAGGAAAAACTGTTGTAGTTCGTCATTTATCTTTAACATACAGTCAATTAAACCTACTTTGGTATCACAATTTAGGAGACTGTAAACGTAATACATTACAAATTTTCAGTTGTTGCATCACTTTTTTTTATCACTAAGTTGTCCAGACAAAGTTGGGTAACAGAAAGGTACATTTGAATGTATTTCTCTATAAATTGTACTTGATAAGAAGGAGGTAACAATTGGAAAAAATCAGTTGGATACTTTGTTAAAAAACTCAAAAGTTGATGTAAAACCACAGTAAGTGAGATGAACTGAATTGTGTTCAAGCAGAAAATTACAACAGGTAAAAATTACAAATATACTGGTTTGTGCAATATAAGCATTTAATGTAAATTATTTTATTTATAATAGTCATTTAATTTACTTAATTTCATTTACCTAATGTCAAGTTCAATATCTGCCACATATAAAATGTACATTCTACATATTTCGTTTTTTAGCTATTAAAAGGTTTGTTGGATTTGCTTTTTATTCATCTTTTAATTTTACAGTTAAATATTGTATTAAGACATGAATGTGATAGAATGTATATAATCAACTGTCAGATTTGTATGTATACTAAGCATTTAGAAGTAGGACCTCATGATGATGCACTCATTTTTCGATATATTTCTGTTTGCAGCAATGCTTTAAAAAATAGCTGCTTTTGTTTGTGACTTTTTGACATTGTAGATTTCTTTGCATAGTCAGTCATTGCAAAATTATTATTGGCATATATTTCATTATTTCCATAAAGGACTTTAGTATGGTTTGGCGTTTCTGTAGCCCACCAATCAATCAAAATTCATATTGCACATACATGTATTATAAAATTTCTGACTCAATCTGTTTAAAACCAGATCTTTGATTCCGATTCCGATACTCTACGTTGACTGGAAAGTAGAGGATCGAGAGTGGAATCAAAGATCTGGTTTTAATCGGATTGTTTCTGACTAGTCCCTGTCACAGATTATTGCACAGGTGTAATTTCAAAAATGTGTTTCACACAACAACATTGTATTGTAACTTACATGTGAGAGGTTATCATTATTTAATGTTGGCTAAAGACACAGTTTATTTCCTAACAAGTCAATAAGAATTGACCTATTTTAGCTGCCAATACATTTTTTAATAAGATAAATCATATTAGAAATCATACACATTTTTAGCAAACATGTATTTATTTAATTAATTTAAGGAATAAGTTATTAATTTTTAATGTTTTGTAAAATATTGTAATATTTCATGCGAACTGTTTGACTATTAATCCAACCAATTTGCAAAGCAATTTTGTCATTTATTGCAAGTTTTTTTATTGAAACAACGTTATTTCAATAACTGTTTTATAACGTACTCTATTATCAAACCTAGTTTTAGCGCTTTTTGCCCTATGTATTTGAAAGCACTTAATTAAGATAACAAAAAACAAAACAAAAGTCGCTGTACTCCTGCTTGTTATAAACAACAAATGTGCTATGATATAATTTTACCATACACTTGAGATATTGTTTCATGGCAAATGGGTTTTAGTGTCTATCTATGTTTTATTGAGATTATATTTATTTACAGAAAGTCTCATTGACTCACAGACAATTTCTTGTCTCCATCATCTGTTGTAGAATTTGTATAAAATGAAATTTATGCATGACTTCTATAGGCAGCCAATTTGTATCTCTTCAATGGGAAAGGATTTGTTTATATTTTACTAGAATTTAAACATACAATTGCTGTTTCATACAGCAAGTCGTGACAATTGATACAGTTATTATCACCTTTTCACAATTGAGGTAGATTTAACCTGTCCATTCTTTAACAAAAAAATACCAAATAGGAATACACTCGGGTAACCAAATTCATGCAGCCCTTAGCTGGTAGTGTCCGTGTCACATTTAAAAGTATCCAACATTTGAATCCCGCTCTGTTCAGTTGCATAAAGCATATAATATTGAGGATCAAAGTGAGGTCCAGCTGCCAGTGATGGGGAAGGTAATTTTGTAGAGGTTGCTACGGTGTTGGTGTCAATGAAGCTGAAGGAATATTGTCCTTGTACTTTTCCACGAGTCGCCATGTAAATCTTTCCTTGGTTCCTATTTTACACTAGTTTAATGAATTACGAGTTTGAATAACAGTTTTGTGTACAGTTCAGTGTTCTTTTGATTCCGCTTACAAACTGTAGAATTTTGTCATTGTGGTACTGTTCAGGATGGAGTCTTATCAAACTTCATTTACATATCTTGACAATTGAAGGTTAATTTTTACACTGATATAACTATTTATATCAGAAAAAAAAGTTTAGTCTTTGGATCATCATGACTGTTTTCAAATAATAAATCTGCAAATATTTGAAAGAAAAAAAGGAGCCGAATATATGATTTTAGATAAAGCTTAATATAAAACAATCCAGATCTGGTTTCAGGACAGCTTCACTGTAAATAATAAATGTTAGTTTCTTACAATTCTGATGCCAAAGCTGCAAATGGGTTTTTTGTTTCATTTCTCAGAAATCAATCAACTGCATTGCATTATATTCTTATCAGAAGTAAGTTAATAGACTGGTCTTTTCCTGCTTGTAAAATTGTACTGTGTAATATTTGATTGTATATACAGCATCAGATGATCAATATATCGTGCATGTTTTTAAAGCTTGCTGTTTTCTGTTCAGATATCCTGAACAGTTTAACTCATTCACCCCTGAAGACACATTTGAACTCTTCCAATTCAAAGGTTGGAATAGTTCATTATGAAATATCAGGGGTGAATGAGTTATATATTCTATTGTAAATATATTTATGTTACACAGCATGTCAGAACATTGTGTCTGTGACAATGTACATTTGACATACATCAGGTTGGGAGGGAGTTAACAAAATGCTTGAGAGATTCAAGAATTTGATCTCAACAAAAATGAAATAAAAAATAGCGGTTACTAATGGTGTGTTTGAGTGTTTCTTGGTCCTGCATAAGTAACATTTTCGACTTCTTCTCCAAAACCCCTGAACCAATTTCAATGAAATTTTGCAGAAACCTTCCATGGCCAAAGGTCAACAAAAATTGTGAATTATATGGTCCTCAGCCCCCAGGGGCCTAAGGGTGGGGCCAAAAAGGGTCAAATTGACAAAAATTTCAAAAATCTTCTTCTCAAGATCCAGATATGGTAGAATCAAATACTCTTAATAGATGGAAGGGTTTTAAGGTGCTCTACCAAAATTGTGAATTTCATGACCCTGGGGAGGGGGTAAACTTTACTGTCGTTTATATAGGGAAAATCACATTTTGGACCAACATTTGATTAATTTCCATTGGAAGTAATTCAATTTGGGTTAGCATTATCTGTATTAGAAAGCAGTTTGATGGTATGCACAAATCAGCCCTGACTGACCCCTAGGGGCTAATGGGTGGGGCCAAAAAGGGTTGAATTGACTGAAATTTCAAAATCTTCTTCTCAAGACCCTGATATGGTAGAATCAAATACTCTTCATAGATGGAAGGGTCTTAAGGTGCTTAACCAAAATTGTGAATTTCATGACCCTGGGGAGGGGGTAAACTTTACTGTAGATTATATAGGGAAAATCACATTTTGGACCAACATTTGATTAATTTCCATTGGAAGTAATTCAATTTGGGTTAGCATTATCAGTATTGGAAAGCAGTTTGATGGTATGCACTTATCAGCCCTGACTGATCCACCGGGGCTGATGGGTTGGGCCATAACTGGTTAAATTCACTGAAATTTCAAAATCTTCTCCAGACCCAGATATTGTAGAATGGTAGAATCAAATACTCTTAAAAATAGATGGAAGGGTTTTAAGGTGCTCTACCAAAATTGTGAATTTCATGACTGCGTTGTTATGGGGTCTCATGTTCCCCCTGGGGAGGGGGTAAATTTTACTATAGTTTATATAGGGAAATCACATTTTGGACCAACATTTGTTTAATTTCCATTGGAAGTAATTCAATTTAGGTTATCATTATCTGTATTGGAGTGCAGTTTGATGGTATGCACATATCATCCCTGACTGACCCCCAGGGGCTAATGGGTGGGGCCAAAAAGGGTTGAATTGACTGGGTTTTTTTTTTTATGGTTTATATTGGCAAATGATACTTTGGATATTACATGTTGATAACTTGATTGGAATTATAACCCTGAGTTGACAGTTTGATACTTTGAACATTTTGAGCCAGATCTCCCCTAGGGGCCAAAGGAGTCGGTGTGCTAAAATTTCTTCATTTTCCTTGTTTAGAATCAGAGGTGCTAGTTTCAAATACTTTTCAGTCTTAAATCTGTATGCTAGATATTGAATAAGGTGGTTTTATTGGGTTTTTTTTGTCACTTTGAATAATATCTCTGTTCATGTTTTAAAAACAAAAATCAACTCTTTGTATAAATATATCAGAACTCGGGTGACCGTTAAGGCCCATGGGCCTCTTGTTAAATTATAGGTTAAGGTGTAGTTAAAGCAAAAAAGTTTGTTAAATGTTAAACAATAGTGCAAATTTAGCAAATGGTCATCTCAGGAGTTTACATCGATCTTAATGCTATTTGCACCGTTTTAAGTACCATTGATCAGGCTAGGGTTACTGTCATATTGGAAACAGCAGTGGAATTTGAAAAATTAGAAGATCTATAGATCACTCTTGAACATCCCCTCCTCTTATGATCATCAGAGCGGGGATATAAATATAGGGTTAGGAGAATTAAGTTTAGTGCCAACATTTTCAAGCAGACTGGGTTTTCCTATGGGAACAAACTGTGCCCCCTCTATCTTCTGGCTGATTTGTTTTTGTTTTCATATGAGGTTTAAATTTATTTATGAGCTTAAGAGAACTGGTAACAAAAATCTAGCCAATTAAGTCCTTCACATTCAAATGTATCGACTGTGCTGTTTTTAAATAATGAGGAATTCGTTAATGGATCATGTTGATATATACCCTACTGAGCTTGGAATCAAGGACAATTTTGATCTCCCAATCAAAAACTTTCCCTACTGATGGTAGCATCGCGGCTTCCCCAACCTCTGATTTTCACATATACTGTTACAGGTGATTATGTAACTTGCTCCAAATATGATATTCACGATAGATCTCAACTGCTGACGAACAAACTTGCAACACAGGGTTTCCAAAGATGCAGATTAAGATGCACAAGTTCTATGGTCGTCATCATGATTCGGGCGGATTGGTTGAGTGGTTAACACTCAGGCCTTCCACGCAGGAGGCTGGGGTTGATCCCTGAAGTCGTCGTACGCATGGATATGTAGAGAAAGTGTTTTTCTCCTGCCCACACAACTCCAACAACCTAAGTGGAGTATAACATGGTCTGGGGTGGATGTTGCGGTATCTGTGCTGTAGCATTCAAGTGAGGTGGCACTATAAATGATGCCATTGGAAGCATGGTCCCACTACAAACAGAACACATTACATCTCCAGCACACACGCAGGCATACACACAAAGAGAGATATTAGCCAGGTGGCATAGGACTAGTAGTTAACGCGTATATGCTAATTGTATTAATTGTATATCTATGTACTGTAAAGCGCTTTAGAGTGGCTTATGGTAGCTAGATGGGGTGCTATATCAAATGTTGTATATCATTATCTCATTGGGAAATTAGCTATATTTCTTTGTTTGATATGATGGTCAATGTTTTTCACTATGCTTCTTTGTGTGCGTAGTGTTTCTCTACTCTCAACACTTGTACCGTTTATGTAGTTTTAACATGTCCTTAAGTGTGTCAACATTTACTAGTAATCTATTTGTTCAATGGGAAACAATATTTTTGTAAACTACAATAATAACAGAAGAAACATGTATTTGTCTTATAAGATTTATTATATAAAAAATATCTTCATTAAAGCAGTATCACTCGAGGCAGATAATCATTATCTGACATAAACTGTTAGTACCTGACATGAATATACTCTCATACATGTGACCAGACATGAAAAATTAAATAGCATTTCTAAACGATTTGGAATGATAAACTACAACAAAATGTATGCTTACAAGTAAACTCATTAAAGCAGATGAAACAAAATAAGAACCACCAGCTTGACTACTAATGTTACTATGACATCTCTGGAAAATGTGAGGATTATTATGATCTAATGTATATATAAGATTAATTTTCGCATTTTGATTTATACTGTCCTAATACCTCTATCTTTTAGTCTCTCTCTAATTTCTCTCTCTCTCCTCCCCTTTTCTCTATTGCAATCCCCAATCTTTCTTTGTCTTTCTCTCAGTCACATTTCCGTATGTCTCTCGGTCTCAAATCTGTATGCCTCTCTCTCCATCATAAATCTATATCTCCCTCTTGGTCACAAATCTTAATGTCTCTTTGTCTTTCTCTCAGTCACAAAATTAATGACATTTCAGTGGATTTGTTTGTGTCAAGCTGAGGTGTGGATGGTCATGCTTTACCAGGTAAAGATAAACAAGAATAACAGTACAATACCATGGTGGTGTGTCTAATTATTGTGATATATTAACTTCATGACAAATACGTTTGAATTAAACTTTGTGTTGGATTTAATTGTCTGGGAGGATCAAATTAGTCAAAACGGTGCAATAACTGGCATTTAAAGCATAAATAAAAGACCAATTTAACATTGAAAGAAAAGGTTGATAATGAAGTAAATACTCAAATAAATAATCATATAAATTCAGAAATGCTGACCCTAATAATGTGAGCCTTTTAATGTTAGAATGTTGACTAAATTAACAGCTCCAATGTTTTTACAACAGGTTGAGGAAACCCTATCATGGCCAACAAAAATATATACAATGTTCAACTTAACAATGAGTATTGTTTGATGTTCATATTGACATCTAATTCACTCTGCTGAATACGTACGTATATTTAATATCAGATCTATTGCATTTTATATGGTAACCGTGTCACATCAGTCTATAACAGCATCTACATATAGATACAAATCTCCTCGTTAACATTCCACAGAACTATTACATGTAAATGTCATTGAAGCATAACCTAGAAGTCCTCAGGAGTCACCAATGGACCGTGAATAGCAAAGGAAATACATCGATTTTTAGTGTCTTTTTTTTTTAAATATATTTTCATTTTCAGTTGACTCTGACCGATGAAAACAGCTTGTATATTTCGGATGTTTAAACAAATGACAAAACAAGTGGTAATGATATGCTCACTAAATTTACCCGCAAGTCACTTTGGAATCCCTTTATAAGGCCATGCAAGCCACCAAATACACATTCAATCCTTAAACAATAACTAATTGAGCAGATCACTAAGATCAACCTTTACATTTATCTCTGTTTAAAATCCTTTTAATAGATTAACTAAAGATGAGTTTATATGAATGAACACATTGATACATGACCGTTAAACACAAGATGTAAAAGGCTTTATTCACTTGGCCTCAGTTACTCAAAGGTTGGGTAGAGTTAACCAATGGTTAGGGGGAATTTTAAATACAAATACAACAAAATCAAAATCATCCGTCATCATTTCACTGCTATGGATATGTTTACACAGATCAGATTGATGTGTTTTGAGTAGATTATGCTTCGAGACACCATACTTTTATTGGAAACAATTTGAATTTTTCAATAACCACTGGTTAAGGTTCACCAATCTTTGAACAACCGAGGCCAGATGAATCATCAATGGCAGTAAATGATGTGAAGTACAGTAATTAATACAACCAAAGAAAAGTTCAAAAATAAATGTTATATTTTCTCCAACAAAATAAACAGTACAAAATTGTTTATTTACATGTATTATAATGCTGTACCAATTTAGATTTTAATAAATCAATACAGAGATTGTAAGCCAGTCATATATGGCCTCGGCATCACAAAACTTCTGAACTTTAATATTATTGCTAATACATGTACTGCTATAAATGCTAGTACTGTACAATCGAATGTGGGTTTCTGACGATGCACTTCCTCTAATTGCTGACAGTTATATTTCTGGCAACTCTTCCACTGTTTCAAGTCAAGATCAGTGTTTTCCTAACATAATATTTTTTTCTAATTCAGCTAACATTTGAGGAAATAGATCCTTGCAGTAAAGTTCTGAATATAGACAAGTTTTGTGATTTCGGGCCTTTAACACTGGACAAACATAATGTAAATGGCTATTATAACAATCTATTTAAAAAAGCATAAAAATTAAAAAGCAGATTCATGAAGAATATTTGTAGAAAGCGCTTGGGATTAATTTTATTTCAGTAAAACATACAATCACATTTTAACCTTAATTAATTCAGATAAAGACCCTGAGGTATTTACTTAATAATACATATAAATAAAACAAAGTTAGACAGGTGATTAAAATGTAATAATTGTTTATCAAAGATCCTATTAACCAGTGTCAATAGATCCATGGTGACCATCTTCAACAAACATTGGTTCAAATTAAATAATTTAATATCAACCTATATGTCGCTCATAGCAACAACCTTCTTTATCATACATCTGTTGATATGATCAATGCTTCTTTCAATATATCACATTCAAAATAATTTGTCCATTTGAACCCTGATTGGTCATTTATTAATAAGGACAGAACTAGTGATGGATCCCCTGATATTGTTTTCTGGTAAGCTTTAGGCTCAACAAAGACTTTCACGGTATTAATCATGATTCGCCTGAGTGGCTTTACTCAAGAAAATGTTATATTCAAAGTAACCATTCTGCCTAATATAAATACGTTTTGCTTTGAGGCTTAAATCCAAAAGTTTATGGCAACACCCTGGTTGTATCAAACATTGGTATTTCATTAACATCACAATAGATTGATGATACATGTACACATATATGCAAAATGGTTTATTTTGGATTTTTTTCAAAACCAGAGCAAAATAGGATTTTTGGAGTGTTAATTGTCTGGTGGTCACCATTTAGAATCAACATGGTCTATACTATCTATGGTTGGATGCTCTGCTTGTTATGGTTCAGTATTTTCAATGGATCATTCATGGAGTCATTATCACTTGAACACAACACAGAACCCATAATATCTAATGCTGGTGGAGTTGTCTATACCTACATAGTTTTAGAATTTTGCTCGCACAGTCATATCCCACCGTCTGTGTGTTCTAAACTATGACCTTGCCGGAACACTGACCAATCATGCAGTGTGGCCCCCTCTACAACACAATACTATCAAACAGATGCAGATCACATTGTCATTATAATCTCATAATCAGATGTCGTGAAACAATTATGTCACAAAACAATATTGCATATTTATAGTTGGATATGTAGGAGATGGGAGTTGATGGTGACAAAAACAATGTTTCTGTTTAGGACATAACTGTAAATAAACTGTTATATAGGTTTAGACAGTTAAATAAATCAGAGATGGAACAAAGGCAAGTTGAGGCAACATCCATCATCTGTCAACAATCGTATACTTACATGTTCCATGTAATATGTGAAAACTAGAAAACTGACTCTGATGTCAAATTTTTCACAAAGTTGATATTATTCAAATGAAAAGGAGCATTTGTAGATTAGCATTCTTTAAGCATTAGTCTTAATTTAGAGCTTTTCACATTTAAACTATGGAGCTAAAATTCAAAACAAGCCATTCAGATGGATATGTCTCGCCTATACCCCACTTTGACCATCAATACACATATCAGAGAAACTAACTTAAATGCAAAACTTAATGTTGATGGAGATGCTGACAAAGTCAATGGGCCATGAAAGGAAGGCTGCATTCAGCATTGTATGCATGGGTTGAGATGTACTACCTAAGACACATCTAGGGTCTAAGTTTGGTTGGTCTAGCACTTATACTTTCAGTGAAACTAACTTCAACGCAAAAAATTAATGTTGACTCAGCCGGAAAAGCAGCACCTTAGTCTTGCTTCCACTTTGTGGTGGTTAGACAATTATGATTGCGCCAATAGTGGTTCCTGTTTTTTGTGGATGCATCAATTCAACAATGCACTAATCAGTTAAAATTTGACAACACGCTTAACTTTGAGTGTGCTGAAATAAGAACGCTTACAGTGACACTAATTACTTATTCAACATTAAAAGGAAACTGTGAAGTGGTGTATGAATGAAGGGAACATGAGGGATCATACTCTCATTTACCTATAACTCAATTAGCTGTATATATATGAACTGTTAATGGAATCGTACAGAAAATGTTGATTTATTGTACTAGGACACAGAAAGGAAAACTTTTAATACTTAAACAGAATCTTACATATCACATTAGATTTGCTATCGAAACATTAACTGTAACATGTTAACAAGCATATATGTATTAATATATATTATAAACCTGAACATAGAATATGTAGACTTTTGTAGCAAGTACTTGATACAAAATACAGTCCTGCTGTACATGATAAAATTGTGCTATAGAAAACTAAAAAGCTTTTCAGGGGGGGGCCATCAAATATGAAAATAAGTCCTTCACATGTGTTAGCCCTCAAGTTTACATCTGTTTCAGTTACCAAACAACAGTAACTTATTATTCTGACCTTATCCTAGTGTCGCTGAGCACAGTGACAAATGAAAAGCTTATAAGCCAAGCTGAACTTGGCTTTCTCAAGCACAACCGAGTCAATCACATACCTCTCCTATTTTGGATTACTTCTGTACTGACACAGTAAAATGACAATATTTCTCACAAAAAACAAATTCCAGGACATTTTGAAAAAACGTTCCTGACCGTGGAAGACAAAGTTTTACCATGTTTATTGCTATGATAAACTCATTGTTCAGCAATACACATAAAGTCACTATCAACTACGTTGACCTTGACCTTTGAGGAATCTGTGTTGACCTCGATCTCTGTAGAGCCTGTTAAGGCTATGCACCAAAGGTTTTCCTTTTTCTATGTCTGCAGTGCAAAACCCATCTGCATCTGAAAGTATTTGAAAACCTGAAAAAAAGAGCAGAAAAATCAGAATAAACCCTGTTTATCTGAAAATCAGTTTTCAGTCCCATCAGCGGTTGTTTCGCAACATTTTCATTTCTACTTGACAAAACTACTAAATATTACTTGTTCTACTTGCTCATGCAATCGACAATAGAAATGACCTCACATCAACAGGGGACAATACTGTTACAATAACTGATTTGCACTGATCACATTGTGGGAGATTTTCAAAGAGTCTTGATTTGAAGGGGATTTGATATTGAAATGAAGAAAACTCCTGAATTTTATTTTTGCAATCATCTGTTCAAATATCATTCAAAAATGTTATGAACTTCATTTTATTTTCATTTTATTATTTTTCAAAAATATTTTAGCAAAGTTACCTCCCTTACTATGCTAATATATGTACTGTAAAAGTGGGAAATTTTTGCTACGTTGGAAATAGTTCTGAAATCTATCAATTTTCCATCAATTTCCATGTCGTTATTTTAGCGCTAATTTACTCAACACGAAAAATGCAAACATTTCCACACCTCGAACATTTCCACTTTTACAGTATCCTTAGTGAAATATTTTTTTTGGCTATTTTTTTTTATAAAAGTTTGTTTCTGTTCCTTTTTTCTCTTGGATCCTAATGCCTTTTGATATAACAAAACTCAGACATATACAATACATGTTTTTGTGAAACAAATTACCCAGTAAGGGTTTCTAGACAATTATTAACTTTTACTATGGTATACCGCACACTAACCTAGTTTGAATGAGGCATTATATTTGACTCAGAAGTTTTTACTTAGGGAGTAGTAAATGGCCGAATGTAATGCATTAAAGTCAGAAAGTACAGAGGCGTGATACTTATATCACATGTACCTTAATACGATACTTAATGAAAGGTACCATGGTACCCGACTTTAAACCTGTATCAATCTCACATTATTCCTACGAAAATGAACATGACCTAAAATATAATTTTTATTTGGTTTCCTTTCTGTAATTATGTTGGATATTTAATCAATTCCATTTTTCCTACCTTGATCTCATGGTCCTCCGAGCCTGATATGAGATAGTCTCCCAGCAGTATGAGGGTGTTGACGCTGCCTTCGTGACGCTTCAGGTTCTGGATCGGAAGCATCAGCTCAAGGCTCCATATCTACAACATAAAATATTTAGTTTCAATGACTGCATAAGCAATTTATCAGAATAGCTAGTGAAATGCTAGAACAAACATTTTCTAGACCAGAAGTATTACATTCTCATCTCACAGTTAATGGTGTAATAACTGAAGGAAATAAAACTAAAATGAAACTAGTTCAAAACCGAAAAATATAAAACAAGTAAACATTTTACTCACAGGTCAAAATCATACTGAATTGACTAGCCTACCATGAAAACTTATACAACTCCCAACGTATTTTACAAAATACATGTACAACATACTTTTAAATAGAAGAACATTCATACAAATTTATTACCGTATAAACTACCTAGCAATGTAATATTCTAATGGAAAAGTGATATTTTACTAGCGCATCAGAATCACCTGTATGGCTTTGTCAATAGAGGAGGAGAAGAGAAATCGGCCAGAATGGGAGGTAATCAGACTGTTGATTGTCCCGATGTGGCCCTGGAAAGACCTGGTATGCTGCTTGGTTTCTACATCAAACACCTGAATGTTCTGGTTGTAAGTCCCTACCAAAGATTAAAACAGATACATCAAATTTTATCAAAAGTTTCTGATGTATTTTTATACCGCAAGTCCAAATCCTAGTGCGGAGGACACAGGTCCAAATCCTAGTGCGGGGGCAAATATACAATAATTTATCAATTACTCAGCCGTCTGCTAGATTTGAAGAATTGCAGTCTAACAGGAATCTAAAGAAAGCCACTGACATGCTGTAAAAGTGATTCTGATCGGCTAATTCATGCAGGACATCCCTCACCATTATGGATTGGTCTGTGGAACAAGAAAACAAAAATCTCCCGGAGGGCGCTGCTACAAGACTGCATATCGTCCCGATGTGTCCTTTGAATGACCCAATGTGATCATGTGACTCGATGTTAAACAGCTGTATGAGTCGGTTGTAGGTACCTAAACAAATGTTAACATAACGACAATCTCGTTAATGCAAACTCCAAATATGGTAATCGAAACATTCAATTTACAGGTGCTTCAATTATGAACCTGATCAATTGATACCATTTTTCTGTCCCATTAGAGAACATCCTTAAATTGTAACTGGCTTTAAAAATAAGAAACAAGACTAAGAGCTTTGGTCTTCACATAACTATATATAGCTGTGCTTCAATTCCATTCAAGAGGTTTGAATTTTGTAAAACACCATGACCTAATAGTGTCTTAACAAGCTCTCTAAAGTGCAATGAATTCACTATGTTTAAATATTGCATATCATTTCATGCCAAAAGTATAAAACCTCTTTGAAATTTAAATGCCACAGAATATACAATGTATGTAAAAACTGCATGTAGTAATTAAATTACCAAAAAACAAATAGTACACTGACTTGTATATTTCTTATGCAAAAGAAAAGTAGGAGGTATACCAATATATGTATAGCAAGAAAGTCTGTCTCAGAAACTCTATATTTCATTACATCTTACTTACATACACACATGTTTTACCCAAACTCTATGATGAATATTTCTATACAGTTATTTTAAGACTCTCTTCAGAGGCCAATGTAAGTTGCCCCTGATAAAGGAAGTCAAACCTGCACTTACCAGGACACCAGGGTTTGAACACTCTAAACCTCACACTGCTTACTGCGGCTGAATTATCCTACAAATAGAGCAGGGACTGACACATGTATCTACATTTGAACAATGATGTCCACTGTATGCTGACCGTACCTGCTATAACATACTGATGTGTGATGGCCAGAGAGTACACTGACCCGAAGGCGTGGTCAATCTTCCCCTTTAGGTCAAAGGTCCCTGTCGTGTCCCAAATATCTATTGTGTTGTGGGATCCGCTGTACAGGCGATCCTGTAACCACACAAATTACAGAATATGGTGTTATATGGTGTTGTCAGGACTGTCTCCATAAAACTAATTATGAAATTTAAATGAAATATAAATTAAATGGAAGAGACGTCAATGGCAACATTTACTGCAGTGTATAAGCAACTTAAATCCAAGTTTACATGTTTCGTCCCACTAGCTGAGCTGTCGTCATGACAACATTCAGATTTTCAAACATAAGTAATTATAAGGTAGGAAATGTATTGCTCTTCCAACAGATGACAACAAACTGGGTACAGTGATGTCTACAATAGTAAAATAGGATACCTGGTAACCATGTCATCGTATAGCTTTGTTAGATCTGGGAAAAGGTGATGTAAAATTCCACTGATTGTAACAGTTAAAAGGTTATATACCCGTATATAAGATTTGTATAGTTTGACAAAGTGCAATTCATTGGTGCAAAGACTGATCAGGAAGCAACATTTAAAACCTGAGTAATACTGACCTTTGCCTTGTTTAGACACAGCGCCCTCACCCAATGGTGCAATCCTGATATAGTGTGTTTATGTGTCAGTGTCTTCGCTTCCCAGACCTAAACAAGCAACATAAACAAATCAGAAACAAGAGTAAAACAAAATCAGTGATTTTCGTAGAAATTATGGGGAGCATACAGCTTGTGCTGCCATTTCGGTGCTCACATCTAGCATTCATTAATTCTAGCACTTCCCAACCAAGTACTCATTTACAGCTGAGTAGACTGGAACAAGCGGAGTAAAGTATCTTGCTCAAAGATACAACAAAGTGCTGTGATGTGACTCGAACCTGCAACCCTTCGGTCATGAGCCCGGCGTCCTACCACTAGACTAGAGTGTTTCATCTCAATGCAAAATTAAGTAAAGAATTGGTTTTGTTACCTTGAAAGAATAACATTCAAATTTAAAACAAAATAACCGAACAGAAATTTCATTTTGTTATCACAATTTGTCTCATAAGCTATGAAATATTTCCCCAATTTCTCTCTGAGAATGTTCTGTCCTCACAATTTTTTTAATCAGCAGATCTCTCAAATGTTTGAGCTTTCTCTAATTAATTAACTGGTTGTCAGAGAAGTGGACATGTTTTCTAAATAGCAGATTCACATAGTATTGCTTAAGATATGCAATTTAAAGAGGTTCTGTAACAAATCTTCAGTATTCAAAAGTTGGCTTCAATGACAATTGAGAATGCTAATTGGAATGTTCATTTTAACTTTCTTGTGATCTTATAAGATTCTACTAGCTTCTTTATAGCATTTTAATATCATTGGGATTTTTTTGTAATTTGTACAGATTCTACCAGTTACAGTACAATTTTTAAATTTAATGGAGAAAACTTTTTTTTGCAACAAATAGCTATTAAATAGGTGAATTTAAATTTTGTGAATTTAAATTTTGTGAAACACTGTAAATAATCAACAATCTTAACAAGGTCTATAGGAATTGCAACAAACCTTGATGAGGGAATGTGATGCAGAGAAGAGGTAGTCACCAACCAACACCATGGCTGTAATAATGTTGTCATGCGCATTCTGAAAATAGGAGGTAAACACCTACCAGTAAATATATCGCAACATGATGTCGTGTAACATCTAAAGGTACCCATCAACACAATGATTTATTGTTATATGATAATAATATCCCTCACTAACGATCCATATCCCATTCAAATGTACATGTCAATTAAAATCTTTCACCCATTTTTACATGCGTTTCACACTTGACTTAGCAAAGTGGCAAAACTAGAAATATGTATTACAACAAATAGTGTAAACCAACTGATTACCCCCATGCATTTTAACCATAACCTTACTTCAGTTTTCATTTACTAAAGGAGAGATAATGATTTGATTTCTAATGTTTTAAGTTTTTCTGATCTTTTCAGGTTTTATTTATATCTTTTATGATATGATTGAAGCAGCGGTGCGTCTGATCATGAAAAACACTTGCCCCCGATAAGAGTGTCAGAAACCCAACAGGTATAATTATAAAACAATTAAACAACTGCTTGTGTGATTTCTTCTTACCTCAACGCTTGAATGCTGTGTGAGTGTCTCCATGTTCCACGCCCTGATGGACATGTCACCGCCTCCCGTGTATAAAATGTCCCCACTGGCAACCATCGTGTGGACCTGTCATCATAATACTGATATTAACTTTGCCTAGCAATGATGCCATTGAATACTCCATAGAGTAAAATTTCAAAATGACCTGGTTTTACAGAACTTAGTACAAAAACATGAAACACTTAATGACAGATCATACAGAGAAAATCAGTATAAAGGATTATTTTTCATTTTAACATTTTCCATCTGCTTATTTCAGGTAAAACATGTCGTACCACTTTACTGTGGCCCTCCAGTGTCTTGATACAGCCCTTGGCCAGGGTCTCCATGTCCCAAACCTTCACCAAACCATCTGCTCCAGAGCTGCACAACTTCTGTCGCTGAGTGGCAAGGCACCACACAATGTCCTTGTGTCCCCTACAGATCAGAGAAAAACGAATACAATCAATTTTACAGAAAAAATGCAGCTTTTCTTCGTTTAACATGTACAACACTTAATTAATGTTTTTCTCTCATTAACATGTACAACACTTTATTAATGTTTTTCTCACATTAACATGTACAACACTTAATTAATGTTTTTCTCCCATTAACATGTACAACACTTAATTAATATTTTTCTCCCATTAACATCTACAACACTTAATTAATGTTTTTCTCCCATTAACATGTACAGCACTTAATTAATGTTTTTCTCCCATTACCATGTACAACACTTAATTAATGTTTTTCTCCCATTAACATGTACAACACTTAATTAATGTTTTTCTCCCATTAACATGTACAACACTTAATTAATGTTTTTCTCCCATTAACATGTACAACACTTAATTAATGTTTTTCTCCCATTAACATGTACAACACTTAATTAATGTTTTTCTCCCATTAACATGTACAACACTTAATTAATGTTTTTCTCCCATTAACATGTACAACACTTAATTAATGTTTTTCTCCCATTAACATGTACAACACTTAATTAATGTTTTTCTCCCATTAACATGTACAACACTTAATTAATGTTTTTCTCCCATTAACATGTACAACACTTAATTAATGTTTTTCTCCCATTAACATGTACAACACTTAATTAATGTTTTTCTCCCATTAACATGTACAACACTTAATTAATGTTTTTCTCCCATTAACATGTACAACACTTAATTAATGTTTTTCTCCCATTAACATGTACAACACTTAATTAATGTTTTTCTCCCATTAACATGTACAACACTTAATTAATATTTTTCTCCCATTAACATGTACAACACTTAATTAATATTTTTCTTCCATTAACATCTACAGCACTTAATCGATGTATGAAACTTCCATGTTCTATTCAACCATTTCACAGAATTTGTATTCTGTGGCATAATACCGAAGTTGTAAAAATATAATGAAACGTAAGTACTCATATATTTTAAAACATTTCTGGCTATACAACATTAGAAATACAATGACATCACCATTCAGTGTTGTTACTGATTAAATCCCAGTCAGAGATGAGGTTCACATCTACTTCCTACCTACATGTATTTCTCAATACTTTAATTTAACATTTGTTCATTTTCCCTGCCACAATGGAAATATCATTTAATTGACTGTGTGCTTTTATATATAACAAAATTTAGATTTTATGCCGACTCTTACCTTAATGTCCCTATACACTTGAACTGGAAAGGCATCTGCCAATCCTCGCCCTTGGCTGGGGATCCTGGACGGGACCTAATCACCAATGCTGTACCTGAACATAGAGTATACAATACATCTCAGTATACTCTTGTTATTTATGTAAGAAAAGTGGCAACTTCCCAAAGGTACCTCTTCAACTGTTCCTTATTCTAATTTATAGTAATATGAATATACAACACTAGATTGGACGCTGAAAATCAATGCTTTTACCAAGGGTTTTTCCTAAAATGAACAATAAACAGTTATTTATAAGATGTTACTCCTGGGCCCGACAAAAGTTGATTTAATGCCAAAAGTTGATTTAAGGCCAAAAGTCAAACCCCTCCTACAAAAACAGCAGGCAGTAATAATGTCTACCCTGAGTAAATGTTGTCAAAAGCTTTAGACCTCACACCCAACCAGATATGATCACTATACAGCAAATAGATTTTTTTATTCAATTTACTTAATGAGCACCAACAGTTGGATAGCAGGTGATTCATATGGATGGTGCACTTGTTTAGTTGAATGACATAACTGGTTAATTTAATATAGGCAACAAACAATTTGGAAAATATACTTTGCGGTTGTTACATGTAAACGAAATGGTGCCCTGGTTCTACTTAATTGTTGCTGAAATGTTTCTTGAGTTGGTATACAAGGAACAATCGCATCAGAGGTTTAAACACACTTATACATGTAACCACTCAATTTTTGTAACGTTTAACCATGTGTGCAAAATATTCAGAAAAAAATTAATCTAACAATCTTTTATGTATTTCATGTTCCCCATTTCATAAAAAAACATTGGATTCCTTAACACATCATCAATTACATGATTTTCTTTGTCCTACTCAGTAACTCATTGACAATCTTCTAGGTCTTACTCATTTGTACATGCAACAGCATGGTGTTTTACAGTAGGGGTACATTCGCGTATCTGGTTGAAACGGTTGAACCGGTTGAACTTGAGAAGAAAACGACAGACACAGATCTGAACCGAGGCTGACCTCAGGAAAATTTGGCACGTGTAGATTGAGGGGTCCAGACGTACCTGACCGAAACTAAAATGCGTTATTTCTTTCTAAAACAATGTCAAGTCACATGTAGTTTTTAAGATACGTTATGTAGTTAAGTGAACGGATGAAAGAAGGGCATATTATTCTTGATACATTGTTTTTATTCTCTGAAACTGTGCATTTTTAGCTCTGCTTATAAAATGGTCCAAGTGCGTTCGTTTATCATGGAATATTTCTGCGCCACACGTACCGTTTCAACTGGGATAAGCGAATGTAGCCTAGTATAATATTGTTGTCTCCTTTCAGAAATGATGACAAATGAAACTATCCTACAATAAAACCTGATCACCACGTCCTGTACCTCAGTGTGACATGATTACATACTTGAGCTACTTGAGCGGTGCCTGACCACATCCTGGGAGTTGCCTGGAGACCCTGACGATCGCCTATTTCGTCCACCACTCAGTAACTGTTCCACCAATCCTTGGATATTTTCGTACTTCTGCTGTAGGGCCAGTAGGCTACTGTATAATAAATTATATCATAGTTTTGCTATATTACATAGTCTTATCTCATTTCCAAGTTTTGCTCAATTGGTAATTTACTCCACATTCTCCGGATCACTTCATTTATAATTGCATAGTAACCATGTATTAGATTCAATTTTAAAGGAAAATAGGATGAGGCTATAGAACACCTTACCCTATTATTCCAACTGTTAGATTATTTGAGCATCAGAGTAATATCTTTTCAATCTACCAACTGACTTTCAAATTTTCAAACCATGTCATACAACAGAAATAATATATTTTAATAAATAACAAGACGCCAAACAGCCCTGCACCATTCTAGGCCCATTGGTTACCCAGAAAAAGTCATATAAATGTTTTTAACACATTTCCTGTGACCCTGAAATTAGGTTAAGGTCATTCATTTGATCAAAATTTACAGTTCTTCAACCAAGCACTCTACTGGTAAAATAGCATAACAAAAACAGATTTCTTGGCTATTCAAAAGAAATTGTCGAAAGATTTTAACAGGATTTAACCCTTGCAAACATAAAGTGGGTCAACGTCATCAATTTGAACAAAATTGGTTGAAGCATAAAGGGAAAAATTGACATTGGAAAGACAGATGCTATACATTGCATAAGTTCACTTGGCAACTTAGGCCAGATTAGCTAAAACACATATTAATACCTTGTGCAGGATGTGAGTTGCTTTTGAAAGTACTCTCTCCCTCCCTCCAGTAGCTCTACTCGCTGTGTCAACAAACCTACTTCCTCCCTCAGCTCTTTGTTATTCTCTTCCAAAACACGGTTCTGTGAAAAAAATTAAAATGTCACACATAAACAACATATGTCAACGATATTAAGTAATCAGTTAAAACCATTATGTGAGCTGTGATTAAATCTTCACCTATAATTACCAGAAATATAAAATACATAGGTCTGCTATGTGTGTGTTTCCCTCAAAGAAAGCGTTTTCCATTATCTATTCCTTCCAGCATGATTTCATTACAGTTTATCAGACAACCTTCTAATATGCATTATTATGGTTTATGAGATAATTTTCCAGTAACTGTCCAGCTTAATTAAGAAACACTTAATGATGATAAGTATGAGCTATTTACTTGTTGATTGAAATCTTTGAAGCTGACACTCTTCTGAAGACCCCTGTATCCACAGGTGGTGTCCTCATGGCTGCGAACTTCCTCAGCAGTGCTCATAAACTCACATCCTGCAGAACCAAACATGTTATTGAATAATACAAGGTCATATACTAGGCTGACATCAAAATGTATTAGTCAATATTTTTTGGAATAACTGAAAACAGTGCCTCATTGTTGAAATGATGCTGAGAAATTAATAACTTTGTTATGGTACTCCACTGTCAACTACATATGAAGATATATGGACAGGCTGTCGGATTAGTCTGTTACCTTTTTCACAGTGTCCGCATGGTGTGAACTGACACAACTCTAAGTGTTGGTCAAGCTCTGATTTCCTAAACCTCCCACACCGGCCAGAATTGTTTGGACACGGGACAGGGGCATATACACAGTTAGCCTCATGTTCCTCTCGGTTTCCTATATACACAGAAAAAAAAAATATAACTTACATTGAATATAGTAGATTCAACAGTATGGAGAATTTAAAGTACAAAGGATCAAATAGTTTTAATATATACCTATTAAGTCTCCTTGCATATGAATTTCTGGGCACAATTATGTTATTGGTACAATTAAATTGTTTAAAGCATGATTAGTTTACATGTCATTAAAATAAAAGATGAAAATGTGAATTTTGGGAAATATCAGGAAATTTACAAAATTCATTTTTTTTCATTTTTTATCTTCATACTGTACTTCTATATAATTATATATGTAATGTTAGTTATGAATTTCATTATATTTTGTATATACAAACGCATAAAGTTTTATCAAACCTGTTGTTAAGTTTGTCATGCTTTGAACAGAATTTTACATCTCCATACATATACATTACAAACACAAAGGAAAAGGTTATGTAAAAATTGTTCCTGAGCTGTTAGCTTTAATGCAGAATATCTATAACTGTGGTAACTGACCGAGAACGATGTGTTCCTGACAGCCACTGGGGTCTGGAGAATGGTCACCATCAGTCTCAGTCAGCCCATACTGACAGTGGATTAGCAAGTCTTCAATCTGTCCAACAACAATTCTGGAACAAACACAAGTTTCAGATCATTAACAACCAAAGGCTATACTAATTCCTGTAGGAACTCGATCTGAATCAGAGATTTATAACGATAGACTATAAATCTCTGATTTAGATAGAGTTCCTAAAGCAGGGTTCTCCCCAGGCCATTTAGCTGATACGGCTCCGTATCAGCTTCAGTTTGAAATCCTCCCTGCCGTATCAGTTTAATTGACCCGTATCACCTTAGACTGTGAACCGTATCACCTTGTTATTTGTACTGAAGGTGATCTTTTTACGCAAGAAATTGACACTGATTAAATCACACGGCTGACCCAAGTCCAGCAATGACCCCACTGGTCATGATCATTTGCACGATAGGCGTATTGCCACAGGGGGGCTGTAATTAGTGGGGAGGGGGACCGGACGACAAGCCCACAGGTGTCCGGCAAGCGTGCTCACTGGAGCCTAAAGCAATTACCACCGGATCCTTTTAGCATGGTCAACAGGTGATTAATTGAGGTACCTACTGTTGGATTAACAAAACAAACACTTATTACATCTATTATAAATTAATTTACTCACATATGATTGCATTTGACAACGCTGAAATAGCGTGTGTATTGAGTTAGTGATGGTCGCCATCTTGGATTGTGTAAAGTACAAACCGGAAAGGG